AATGTGTGGGGATTGGAAAGCTGAATGTGTTTAGCCCTGGGAAGCAAATGCTAAGATAAGATATAATAATACTCTAACTGTACCTGAAGGAAAGCCATTACCTGTTTTCTAATATCCCAGATAGCAGAACCTGGAATAATGAGGTTATAGGAAGGAGTTTCTAGGCTGCGAGGTCTGTTCCTCCTAGTGATCCTGCTGGATACTGTCCATCCACCAGGGCGATGCAGAATTGAACACAGACCAAATTGTCTGCCCTGGGGAGTGGGTTTTTTTTTTTTTTTGCAATCCATGGATCTACAGTCATATCTGTTAAAATGCAAACGTGACCTGGATGCTGCTTTTGAGCATGCATGATGGCATTTTTTAATCCAAAAAGCAGATCCTGCACCTATGGGAATAGCAATAGCACTTAGACTTACATACTGCTTTACAGTGCTTTACAGCTCTCTCTAAGCGGTTCAGCCTATTGCCCCCAACAATTTGAGTCCTCATTTTACCCATCTCGGAAGGATGGAAAGTTGAGTCAACCTTGAGCCTGAGGGATTTGAACTGCCAAATTGCAGTCAGCCGGCAGTCAGCAGAAGTAGCTTGCAGTACTCCACTCTAACCACTGCACCACCGAGGCTCATAACACTAGGAAGATGATAGAAAGAAGTTTCTAGCTAAATGTTTAGAATAAAATACCACAAAACTAAACATCCTAACAGTACACTGAATTTAACAGTGGGACCAGTTACTCAGAAGAGATTTCCTTCCTTGGAAGTATTTCAATAGAGGCTGGACAGCTGTCATGCAGCTTTAATTTCTATTTCTGCACCATTCGGGAGCTGTAGGAGATGTGATGGCACAGTGTTTAGAATGTAGTATAGCAGGCTAACTCTGCCCACAGCCAGGAGTTCAACCTGACTGTCTCAAAGTTGGCTCAGTCTCCCATCCTTCCAAGATCAGTAAAATAAGGTCCAAATTGTTGGGGGCAATTGCTGACTCTGTAAACCGCTTAGGGAGGGCAATAAAGCAATATGAAGCAGTATATAAGTCTAAGCGCTATTGCTACTGCTACACTGCCTCTTCCAATTCTATAATTCTATGGTGATACTAAAACATTTAAAGTGGTTAAATAAATAAAAAAGGAATAGTGGGAGGTTGCAAAAATATATTCAAACAAAAGAAAATGTGACATTTTGCCTGTCACATAAAGGGACCTGTGGTCACCACAGAAAGCTCAATGAAAATGTTAACCTGGTATGCTATATTTTATATGGTTCAACAACACACAGAATTCTCTGCATCGTTCTGCTTACTGTACCATCAAGAGAATATAGCAGATTTGGGAAAATGTTCCTCAAAATTTCAAGGAGCTGGAGAAGGAATGAAGTTGCCTTCACTCTTTCTCAGAATTAAAATCTGGGCTTATTCAATAAAGCTGAATAATAGGAGGTCGAAAATAGCTATTTGATCCTACAGTGCAAATTACAGAACTCATTATCAGAAAATACAGTAGTACAGAAGGAATGGCAGAGCCTGTCGTGGAGTGAAAAGAGAAGTCAGCCTAGAATCTCTACATAGCCACAAGCTAACTAAATCCAGCCTCCTTTAAGTGCCATTGACCCGTTTCTAATTCTAATTCTAAACAGTCAGGTGCTGACTGTTATGAGACAGATTCCTGTGCACAGACCATTAGCAATAAATTAACTGAACTGAACTTTCACATGTGGACGTGCCTTTTGGGCCCCACAATGGTAGCCACCAGGATGAAAAAATTTAAAGATGATTTATAGAGCCTATGAATACTGGTAATGTATCAAATAGTACCTCACCTCAATTGTCCTAAGGACCTGCTTGGGCACTTCTTACTACAATTGCTAGTTTAAAGGTCCATAATCTGATTGAACTAGATTTTTCTTATATTTAATATACTGTATGGTAGTCACATTCTTCAAGAATATCTCTGATACTCATGTAAATCTATCTAAGCCCAATGTCCATCTCATGTCTTCTATAAATCCATTATGCATTTCATAATGAAGGATTCAGTGCTTGTCCGGATGAAATCAGTTGCCAATTTTCTACACATAATTTAGTTTTTCCTTGTAGGAAAATGGCCTAACCTCCTGATCAAAGTGGGTACCCTATTACTTGACTACACCAGGAAAAAAACATGTTTTCTATGTGTTATGCAGCTGTGAAAAAAATTTCCTCTGTTTCCTCTCTCGAGCAAGGCTCAGTTTTCTGTGCTTGACACCTGAAAAGAGAGGCATGTTGACAGCTCCAAAGGGTGTGGGAGAATCAGGAATGTAATGAAGCCCATCCCATCTAAAATTGCCAGCAATGCAAGCAATGGAAAGGTCAACAAGTCCCAGAGGGCTTTCCCCAGCTTGGAGAAGTGGAATCATGCCAGTTGCTGGAGTCACAGCCTTTGCAAGGATTAATTTGGCATTCTGCAGGTCATGGATAACACAAGGCACAAGAGAAGCTAGCCTAACCCTCTTCCAGGGTCACCCTTCTGAAGCTGTGGTTCATGGACCTTAGGAGGAAGAGATGAGGACTCAAACCAAACATCAAGCCAGCGGGAATGCAAAGCTTAGCCCACAAAGACAACATCCTCTATGCTTTCTTGGTGCTTGTATTTCAAAGCAATAGTAGAAGAAAAATCAGAAGCATCCTCCTTGCTGCTACAGATGCATGCATGCTATGCTATGCACCAAACCGCATATACAAGCTGTAAGTGAAATTCAGTATTAGGATGCAACTAGGAATTAACTGTAAAAAAAATATATCTCCCACATGGCTGGCCAAGATGGGTAGTAGGGATAATCAGATTTTTAGCATAAGAGGTTTAAATGCACGTACACATACCCCATTGCCCCATTCATGTATACACACCCAGCTGGACGGAGGAACTATATAAAACTTTAGGTTAAATGGAGTTTAACATATTAAGCGTTAGAGAGGGGGGGGGGGGGAGAGAGAGAGAGAGAGAGAGAACTGACTGCTTCCATTGAAGGAATTACACAAGCTCTTTCTGAGAAGCGAGGAGGGCTTTGGGGGAAGGGGATGACTGGCTCATCCTCCTATTCAGGGATCCAGGGCTTGTATGAGTTATCATACCAGAGATGGCAAACCAAATGGCAGATTAAACACCAGAGACTCTTAGAAAGGTTACATAACCAGAAAGAAAACAGGTTTTGTGTTTAAAAAAAAGGAGGGGGGGAAGGAGGACAAGCAATTTTCACAGGTGGATTGTATAGCTCAATTTCTGCCGAAAAACTGAATGTCCAACAAGGAAAACAAGAGGTTGAAAGTGTCTTTGAAAAAGACAAAAAAAAAGCAAGATTGTGTTAATGTAGGTTTTCCTGTTTATCAGTTGAACTTTAATCATACCAGCATTCATCTAAAATCTAGTACTAGAAACCAGACCTTTAAATAAATGGATGTTAAACAGACACCCCTTGCTTCTCCATAATGCTCTGCTGCACCATGGAAATATCTTTACTTGCTTAGCCTAAACTAGGCTGGACATATCCCTGTATGATCTTTTCTCAGAGGTGATCAAGAAGGAAACCGGTATAACATGCTCCTTGTTCATTCATCATGCACCTTTCCATGGGTACAATACCCCGCCCCCCACAATTATTCTAAATTTGCTTCCTTCCAACGCAGGGCAAATATTTATCATATATTTATGAAGAGAGGAAGCGTTCATTTACTGTTTCTGAGAGCTTTCTAAACATTGGATTGTCCTTAGCTCCAAGTAGCCTCTATTTCTCCAGGGTAAAAGAAAAATCTAATTTGGTAGCATTAAGACATATGGACTACAACTCACAGAATTCTGGGAGTCAAAGTTCACACATCTTAACGTTGCCAGCTTTGTGACAGTAGTATAGAGCTTCGATTGTGTAACTACAGTCAACCACCATCCTGACTTTTAATCTGTCTTATAGATGTCCCTGCCTCCACAGGGGCATCAGCAAAAATACTCTGCAGCCTGAAGCAGGCATATGACCATATTGTACATCTGATGGTACCTAACAATGCAATAAGGTTATTTCTCCATATCTATTCTCAGGCACTGAGTTCAGTATGTTGATTGTAAATTTCCATTTCCATGCTTCTACATATTTTGTACAACAATGATATTTATTATTATTCTATTATTCTCATTCCTAAACATTACATTGTTGAGACATGTCACTTTATCTCAGCTGTCCTTCTCTGAGCAAGAAAGTCAATCAGAAGTCTGATCTTCTCTATTTCCCTCAAAATAGTTGCCCCCAAATTGACACTTTCTGAATAAGTAGCAATTATAACATTCTTAATTCTTAACTGTCCCAGCAATTGGCTAGGGTACTTGGGCATCCTGGGAGTTGTAGTTTAATCATGTTTGGCACACACAAGCAGGGGAAGGCTTTTTAAAAACTACCGACGTTCCCACATGGCCTCGTTTGCAATTTATTTCACATTTTGTAATGTACATGTCTACTAAATGCGTTAAAACAAAGGTCTTGTGTCCTTGCAAATTACTGGCTGAAATAAAATCTGGGCACAACTATTAAACCTCATGTTAATCTGTGGAATACAGAAAGAAAGTGTTTGGTTGTAAAATGCTGAAAAGTTACAATAAGCAGCATTTTTTTTTCTGAATTCCAGAAGTTCCTGAAGGAAGCTTCAGGATAATAGTCCCCTCTCAAGGCCTCCAAAGAACTCTGGAAATTTGGAAGAAAAAGCAGTATTCCACTGGACAAGCAAGCAAACAAACCTCTCTAATTAGCAGCATCAAACTCAAACTCTCTTTATTGATCTGCCAAGGTGTTGGAATACCGAAGTAAATACAGAACTACATCAGGTGTGAGAGAAACAGCATGAAGGATTAAGAGACGAAAAGCTGCGGAAAGGAAAAAGAAGAAGAGGGGCAGTTGAAACAGAAACGGGGCCCAGAGGCAACTGCTGTTAGCAGCTTAGAAAAAGCAGCTGTTGATTCAGAGAGAAGGAACTTAACTTACAGAGCTGAAGTCAGCAAACCCCCGGGAAGAGTCTTTAGAAGGTTTACTTGAAGAGGAAGGAGCAAACAGGACTCTTCCACTAAATAGGTCCCCAAACCCCTTTTTACTCTGAAACGGGTCACTGCTGTCAGCCCCGAATGGCTGAAATGGATCGGGGGGCTTGGCAAAATCGGAAGACCCGACTTGGCTTACAGGAGGACTTTTACCTGGAAAAGGTTGAGAGAAAGAGAGAGAGAGAGAGAGAGAGAGAGAAGGGAGAAGGAAGGAAAGAACAAAAAGGAAGAAAGGGAAAGGTTACTTACCATAGAAAAAAAATATCTAACTCTTACCCAGGAAGGTAAAGCGTCCACCACTGGCACACTACAATGAGTTTATGAGTCATTAAAATTTAGAAGGGGGGCACTTTTGCATAGCCAGACCAGGCCCAGATTTAAATGGGACCTTGCTTTTAATACTTCTCTTCCCTCCCCAATATATCTGCATTACTCAAAACCAAAGTCATCATACAGAAAGTCCCAAGAGTATCTAAAAGTTTCAGCCCAACTAATAAGACTTTTTTTTTTTTTTGGCTGAGACAAATCTTATGCCATCTGGTATCTTTCAGGGACTGCTTAGGAATCCTGGGAGCAGCGAGGGGACATAAGGAACTGTGGAAGGCTAGGCCTTACAAACAAACAACCCCCCCCCTCCAAAAAAAAACCAGATGCAGTTCAAAGAAAGCTAGAATAATTTTCATACGATGATCAATACCACAAATGGGCTCCTGTCAAGGGTTGGAAAAAAAAACAACCACACACACACACATTGCTGCTGATATTTTAAGTACTCTGTTGTTATCATTGCCTAATGTATTTTCCCTTCCCCCAAGTAAAACAGGTCCCTCGACTGAAAACCACAAGATTTTCAGCAGTTGCCTAAGTGGTGAACATAAACCACACAGAGGGCTCACTTCAACAAAATGACGATAAACAGCAGTTTTCAATGCAGGGGGGAAAAAAAAATCAAACAAGCACCAGCAGCTTCCCCACCCACCCCACTCCTGCAGCTCTGAGGGAAGACCCACGGGGGCGACGAGGAAGGCCTTCTTCCCGCCTATTTGGGGCTAGAGGAGGACTGCGAGGGGGCCTTTGGCCGAGCCTGCTAACCTGACAGGAATTGCTCAGAGTACCTTCCCTGTCAATTCAAACCTCAGGCTCAAAGCGGGAGGCACGTGCAGGGTGGCTTTGCGGCAGCTGCCGCAGCAGAGATTCGTTCAACTTCCCTTTTCTATTCCAGCAAAGCTGCCTTCCATTGAGTGAGGCCATTGAGGTAGCCCCCACCCAGTGTTTTCTGCTCCGGCTGGCGGTGGCTCTCTAGGGCTCTCGGGTGGCACTGTTCCCATGGCCTACTTCTTGGAGGTGAACCTCCTAGCCAAGTCCACCAGCCGCCTTTCGGTATGTTGTGTAAAGTTCATGCTCTAAGAAAAGCCACAAAACTTGTAGATGCACACGGTGGCATCGGATGTCTGCTTCTCCAAAAGCAGCCATCCCACTACAAACCGGAGCAGAGCTTCAGAAAGCAGTGTGCCAAAGAAGCTCTGGGGTTCAGAGAGGGACAGCAATTGGCAACCAGCTTCAAACTCTTGGGCAAGCTAGACAAATGATTCTGGGTTCAACTCCCGCCAATCTTCCAGAAGTCTTAAAATAAAGAAGACCGGGAGGCAGATCTCTAAAAGTTAAAAAGACTCTTCTGTTTTCTCCACCCCATCTCAAAAAAAAAAAAAAAAAAAAAAAAAGCTATTTTCTCAACCCTCCCGTGTACTTTTGGGAACTCCAATCAACATTTGGGTTCAACAGAGAAAGCACAGAACCAGTCCAGTCTACACAAGGAACAGTGGGAAATGCAGAGGAGGGGGAGAAAACAGTGCTGAGACATTATCTGCACATGGGAGGAAGGAGGCCTGAATAAATTCCAGGTAAGCAGTAACCTATTACACCTTGCTCTTCTGCCCTTTGCTCAAAGCTGACTCGCCAATGGATGTTTTTCAAGGGAAAATTACCTAAACCTGAAAGAGAGCTGCACTAGCCCCCCCCACTTCTGTCCCCACCTGGAAATAGACTGAAGCGATAAATCCCTATTCTACCACTTCTCCTTGCTCTCTGCGTGCAGGCCAAGACCACGATTGGATTTGTGTAGGGTTAAACCAAGCAAGCGCTATGGGAAATAGTATCAAGAGCTGCTAAAAGGCTGTTGGGGAGAAAAAAAGTCACTGATGCCAGTTTGCTGAGATGGCCAGAGAGGCATTCACTGATCATTTTCAGTGAGAAGGGGCTCCATCCTAGCCTTTTCACAAGCAGGGCTGCTCTCCCCTTTCAAAGGGCCCAAGGCAGGATTGTGACTGCATTGCTCTCTCCCCAGAGACCTGATGCTGATGGGCGCAAGTTGCCCCCATCCTGCCAGATCTCATGGCAGCCCCCTCCTTTTCAGGTGGGGTTTCCTGCCTATAGTCAAGAGGAGGCAAAAAAAGAAAAAGAAAAAAAAGGAGGGTGCGGGGAGAGAGAAAGAAAAAAGAAAAACAGGAGTGCCCTCAGCTTGCAAACCTGTCCCAGGCAGTCCATCAAAGGACCTGCAAATGCTGAGGAAGCTGAATGTGCCCACATGGAGCTCAGCTCAGCTCCATCAGAATGTTTCTCTGTTCCTAGACTGCCTAGAGAACTTTCTGATGAAGCTGAGCTGAGCTGAGCTGAGCTTGTGGGCACATTCAGCTTCCCCAGCATTTGCAGGTCCTTTGATGGACTGCCTGGGACAGGTTTGCAAGCTGAGGGCACTCCTGTTTTTCCTTTTTCTTTTTCTCTCCCCTGCCCTCGCTTTTTTTTTTTTTTGGCCTCCTAGATTGCCAAAGACAAGGCAAACATGACTTTCCCACCTAGCATGCGATCTCTCATCTCTGCATGCGCAGCCATCTCATCAATCCAATTTGTAGGGGGGGGGGGAAATGCCCACCCTGCACATAAAAGACAATCCCAGACGCTTTTTTGAGAATTCCCCCTGCCATTAAAATAAGGCTACAAGTGGAGAAAATCCAGCCACAAAACCTGTGACGGTACCTGTGAAACCTGAAAGCAATTGAAAATATCAGTAGCTGGTAAAATAAAAGGTATAATTTAAGTGTCCAAATAGATCGACCCAGATACCATAGGTGGCCTGGTGATGCGTCATGCAATTTCTTAATATTTCAGCCACAAGAAATGGCCTTCATTGATGTGAAAACAGAGTTTAGGTTCTGAATTCAGAAATAGAGGTGTTAACCACCGAGGCAAGCAATGGTGCCAACTCTGCAAAGGCAGAATTTCTCACCAAAGCAAACTTTTCACGAAGGTGGAACAGGCTAACGATGTTAAGAGATATATCTATGCACATGGACATATATTTGTTGTTTGAGGACTCCGTTTCGAAGACCTTAGATCAGGGGTGTCCAACCTTGGGAACTTTAAGACTTGTGGACTTCAACTCCCAGAATTCCTCAGCCACACCCCTGCCTTAGATATACCAAATGTTGCATCATGTTCGGTCTTTGAAAATGATTTCCGACATTCACATGTACACAAGCCTCTTCCTTTCAATGTTGTTGCTCAAGCAGTGTTAAAGGTCTACAACAGCCACGGAATTTCAGGTCAAATAGATAAGAGCACCTGATCGCAAACTGCAATCTCAGCATAACAAATTAATCAGTTAAGCTTTCTTAAATTATGGACTCTGAAAACACATCTTAACAGATTAGAAAGCTTAGCTTGCAAATTCCCTTTGAGCCCCTGAAAGCACTTTTACTAGAGCACTGCTTGAAATGTCTGACAACATTATTATACAGTGAAGCACCTCAGTCAGGAGGAAACAGCCTCCCTTCTCTTTCTGGCTCATCACCAGAATCTTGCAAGTATATTCATCCTATACATCTAGTTCTAGAATCTGCAGGGGGAAAAATGGCTCTGTTCTCATCATACTGATAAAATAAGCAGCAACATCTTTTAGAAAAGACTTGCTTAATCTCACACGGTGTTTGATTGCAAGCCTCAGCCAGGGTGGCCTTTAAATTAGGCTGTGACTGATCTACCAATTGAAAGCCATCTAATTTCGTTGCAATAGCTCACAACCTGAAAGCATTCTTATCTATGTTGAAAATGTTGCCTGTTTCATTGTCTCCCGTGGCCTTGACAGAATCCCTTGCAACCTCTCTAGCATCATGTCTCCATAACATAGTGAGGCCCTGGCAGCCCAAGGAGGCTGAACCAAATCCATCTGAAGATGATGAATATTGTATAAAGTTTGGCTTTGTGCACAGCAGACTTTCCATCCCGAAGCCTAAGCGGCTTCTTCTAACACCCTGATTGAGCACCCGGTCTGTCACGTCTCTTGTGCATTTACTCAAAAAGGGAAAAGCAGGCAAGCCTGCGTCAATGTGAAAGTAATTCCTGGAGGAAATACACGAAGTCAATTTTCTGCACGCTCGTGCCCAGAAAATATAATTGGACCAAAGCCGTGGCCAGTTAAAAAAAGAAAAGGAAAAGAAACAAACTTGATACAGACAGCAACCACCTGGATGAGGCCTAATGAATGTTTTGAAAAGAATGGTAGGTTTTCTGCACTATTATTGTTCCTTGCAGGTTTAGAAGAATACTATCACCCTACTCTTCTGTGTCAACAGGAGAACGTGCTTTCTGGTATTGCTAGCTGGCACTGCTGCTCAAACCATGTTAAGAGGATGTGAGTCTGGGTGGGGCTGATGCAGCTGGTCTCAGGATCACAGACCTACAAGGGCTACACTAAACTGACTTGCAATCACTGACACCCACACAGACATTTCCTGTACTTAGAAAAAAAAATCTGTTTCTCTCTTTTGAGGCTCAACAACTTTTACCTAGAAGCTAGATAGCGGTGAGCACTGAAAGATCTCTTATCAGCAGTTAGGTTCCTTTTTTGTTTTTGCACTAATAATCTGTTTGAACTCTTAGAAGAGGTCTTAACCAACGGTTTTTAGCAGATATTTAATGAAAAAAAAAATAAGGGAGGGGAGTTTTCATGCCCAAATGACTGAAATGAGCAACTAACCTCTGGCGAGGAAACGCTTTGAGATTCTTCACATTAACATGGTTATAGTTACATGGCTCCTTTCTGGACACTTCAGCAACATAGCATAGCGCTATCTGCAACCTGTGTTAGACCTTTAGCAGCAGGTGAGAAGAAGTCAATGAATCTTCTCCAGATTTGGAGAGGTGGGGGAAGAAGCATAAATTTTTACTTGTGTCCCATGCTGGCCAAATTGGGCAATCCAGGACCTCAACCAAGCCTAAAGCCAAGAAGTACTTACTGATACTATGAACTGTAGGATAAGAGAACCTGCCGGCCCAATTAACATTGCTAAGGGGGATTTTGAATTTTGTGCATGCATGCATGCATACACGCACTCATGTGCCTGTAAAACAAGATCACCGCAGAGAGAAACATTTGCATGTCATAAAATTATTTTATGACTTTTCCTGTTGGTGTCATGCAGGATGCATGGGACAAAGCAAGGGACAAAAGAGACCATGTAGCAATTTTGAACGATGTTCAGTCTTTTCAAGTCGTGGTGGAAGAGACAATAACAACATAAAATTACTCTGACTTCTATTTTCCTATTTATTTGGGAACTTGGGAAGTGAAAACTCAAGCCACCCAGCACAGAAACTAGTGCATAGCTTCCAGAAACCTTGCAATTTTTCCAGCTGAGGAACAGAAAGAGCGAAAGGGACAGAAACAGAGAAAGGGAATCAAAGCAAGCAAGTGAAAGTATAAGGGGGGGTGGGGTGGAGTGGGGGAGGGAGAAAAGCTACTCCCTAGAAAAAGTTTGCTTTAGAGGAAACTCAGGGAGTTTCACCACCACTACCCCTCAAAAAGCTGGCCAACCATTTGCTGTCATTGGTGAGCAAGCATCCCAAAAGAAATGTAACTCACCACTGGGTGGCTCAGGCCTGGGAGGCATATTTTTCTTCGGCGGGAGGGCAGGAGTGTCTGCTTTAGTCTTAAAAGGATCGTCAGAGAATCCAGCTCCTCCAAAAGAGGAGAATGGATCAGAAGCTGGAGGCTGCATGAGAAAGATCTGCATTTAGACTATTGCACAGAGAAGCCAAGGAAAAAAACAACAACATCCGGGGCGGGGGTTAGGGATGCCGAACACGAAGGAGGACAGGCTCCATTGCAAGCTTGTTGGGTGGCGAGGGAGGAGGGAGAGAAGGACCTTGGAAAGACAGCAGAGAAGCTGACAGAAGAATCCCCCCACCATCTACTCAGCAGCTTTGGGCGCCATGTCAGTGCTGGTTTTCACAGACACCTGCTTAACATGGTCGTGAATCCCATTTTGCCCAAAGGGCAGGCATGGAGTGAGTGAGGCAGCAGTTATACTTTAAGCTATACAAACTTGCACACATCTATGTCTGCAATAAATTTCTTCCAAAGTTGAGAATCACTGGATACATGCACGTACACACGCACGCACGCACACACACACAAAAACACTGCTTCTTAAGTCCCAGTATAGCTGTTTCCACATCTAAATATTAGAAAGGGGGGGGGAGCAAAACTAGACATATAATAACTGCAAAGGATTTGTCAATAGCAGGAAAACAATCCTACACTCAGACACAAGTTGCCATTGGACACAATGTGAAGCTGTGCTTGGGTTTCCTGGGTGGGCAGAGCTCCAATAAAAATCAATCTAATCGCTATCTAGAGTAGACTATCCTGGCATTTAGTGCAGGAAGAAATACAGAAGTCACTAACTTGGATTCATGGCATGGGACAGGGTTATCTGAGGGACTGCCTCTCCCCAGCTACACCAGCCCACCCCATTAGATACATCAGGCACACCGCAAGGACTATCTGCGAGGGACCTGCACTGATGGATCCCAGGAATTGGCCTTCTCTGCTGGAGCTTAATGGAACATTTCCCATCCCCCAAATTCAAGTTAGCTCCATTCCTGTCTTCATGTTGAGGAATCAAGACTCAATTCCTCAAATGGGTTTCGACCTGGTTATATCCCCAGGAACCGGCAGTATCTTAAGGTGGCTCCCTTATTCTGCGGTTGATACAGGCAGTCCTCGATTTACAATCACCACTGGGACCAGAATTTCTGTTGCTAAGCAACACAGTTGTTAAGTGAGTTCACCCAATTTTACAATTTTTTTTGTTAGTTGTTAAGTGAATCATGCAGTCCTTAAATGAATCTGCCTCCTCTACTGATTTTGCTTGTTGGAAGCTGGCTGGGGAAATGGCAATCACAAGCCCCCAGGGACATTACAACCATCATAAATGCATGCTACGGTAGTTGCCAAACACCTGATCATGTGGCCATGGGGATATTGGGACAGTCATAAGGGTGAGGATTGATCGTAAGTTACTTTTTCCAGTGCCGTTGCAACTTCGAAGAGTCACTAAAGAAATGGTTCTGAATCAAGGACTAGCTGTATGTGGTTTATATACTTACTCTGTGCTTTGTATACTCTAATTTTTAAATAATATTTTGATTTTGAATAACGACTGTTCATATTTATGACTGTTCTTATAATCCCTGGTTTTATATTATTTTATTTGGTTATTGTATGCTGCACAGAGTAATTTTTGGTGAAATAGATGGCTGTACACATTGGATAAATAAACTGCTCCTTGAGAGCACTCCAAAGATTACAGGTAGTCCTGAGCTTACAACCACAATTGAGCCCAACATTTTTGTCGGTAAGTGAGAAATTTGTTGAAATTTGTCCCATTTTACGACTTCCCTTGCCAAATCTGTTAAGTGAATCATTGCAATTGTTGTTAGAAACATGGTTGTTAAGTGAATCTGGTTTCCCCATTGGCTTTGCTTGTCAGAAGGCTGCAAAAGGGGAATCACATGACCCCGGGGACATTGCAACTGTCATAAATACGAACTGGCTGTCAAACATCCGAATGTAAATCACGCCACCCTGGAGAGGCTGCAACGGTCGTAAGTGTGAAAAATGATCGTCGCTTTTTTCAGTGCTGCTGTAACTTCAAACGGTCACTAAATAAACGGTTGTAAGTCGAGGACCACCTGTACCAGGTTTTCTGAGGTAAACTCTCTCTCGTCACCGGTATATTTGACTGTTCTAGAGCCTCTGGAAGCTACTCAGACAAACTACTGAGCCTCCCACCTCCAGGACTGGCAAGCAGCTTACATCGGAATGCCAGAAATTACACAATGACAACAACAGAGAGGAAGGAGCTACTTGCCTGCTCATATGTCCTGCTCCTAAGCCTTCTAGAGACATCTGTTTGCGACTAAGAGAAATAAGGATATTGACTAGATGGAAGGATCACCTCTACTTTACTATCAACTCGAAAGAGCAGCCGTGAATTAGAATCTTGGTAAGAGCTTTTCACATCAGCTGCTATAGAATATCTGGAGGAAAGGTCCAAGGAACCCGAGACCATTTGCAATTAAAGCATGAACCCTTACGTTGAGTTTTGATTTTTCACAGAAAATATCCTTGAAGGCTAATCTTGTTTGTCCTGTTCTTCAGCCCCCTATCCACACATTTATAGTAAATATTTATGATTACTGTAGATTTGCAGAAAAAAAAAGAAAGGTTTGGATAGGATAAAAAGAATATGAGTTTCCTGGCTGCTTAGCTCAGTGAATCTGAACACCTTGATGTAGAAAAACAGCTGCTGCCATCTAGTGGGATTAAGGGCGTTACATAAAATGTTTTAAACATGTAAACGTGTTTCTCTAAACCCTGGAATAAGATGGTTTTTGCTCCATAACCATTTCTAGAGCCCCACAGAATAGGCTGAGCTGTGGAAAAGAAGAAATAATGGCCATTTTACCCAATAATATGCAGCAACTATGTCAGAATGAGCCAAACTCAATTTGCTTCAAAGGTAAGAACTGCAGTATTGGGCACAAGGTGCTCACAAGCACAACAAAACCTATGAAGCTGGTCACACTGCTTGTGAAGGAAAAAAGATAATCCGATCCTTCTTTTGTGCAGTTCTTGGTGCTCTCTGAGCCAGTTATCTGCCTGCAGACATTTTATTACATGACTGCCATTAAGGTACAAAGGTAAAGGTTCCCCTCGCACATACATGCTAGTCATTTCCGGCTCTAGGGAGTGGTGCTCATCTCTGTTACAAAGTTGAAGAGCTACCGTTGTCCGAAGACGTCTCCGTGGTCATGTGGCCCGCATGACTAAATGCCGAAGGCGCATGGAACGCTGTTACCTTCCCACCGAAGTGATCCCTATTTTTCTACTTGCATTTTTACATGCTTTCGAACTGCTAGGTTGGCAGAAGCTGGGAGAAGTAATGGGAGCTCACTCCATGCATGACATGGCACTAGGGATTTGAACCGCCAAACTGCCGACCTTTCTGATCGACAAGCTCAGCATCTTAGCCACTGAGCCACCGCATCCCCTTAGGTAATGTCATTAATGCTAGTGAAATTTGGGGGTTTTCTCCCTGTTTATACAGATTAGCTTGCCCTGCCAGTATTTTGTGTGTGTGTGTGTAAGTTTTTGTCTTTAGTAATTCCTTGATTAGGGTATTGTTTTCTGCTTTGTTTGTCTACCCCCAGTCTGCCCTTTGTTCAACCCTGAGCTACACATGTCCTCTTCTTTTGGAGTTCTTCAGTCTCCAGGCCTGGTTCCTGTTTTATCACAAACCACCACTGCAGAAAGCAACCTTCCCATTTCCCTTAGCAAAAAAAAAAAAAACCTTCTGAGAGAAATTTACCTTTGACATTTGACTGAAATCTGCAAATCCTTCACTACTGTGGGCATTGAAGGTGCTGCTACCAAAGGCGTCTAATGTCCCAAAAGGATCTGAAAGCAAACACAAAAAGTGCAATGATTCTGAGTTTTAATTATCAAAATGCAAAATGAATTCTGGCAAATATGTCTCCTGGCTGGGGACACCTAGCCAGATCAGGAGTCTTGCAATGCGGGAGATCACAAGTAAACCTTTCCCTGGGCGCTTTGTGCACAAAATTCATTTACGATCACCTTTAAGCAAATACTACTGGCTGAAGTGGAATAGAAGTGGATGGATGTAAATATGGACGATGGGAAATACCAAAGCATAAACGATGAATTCAAACTTGTCGAGCAGGAGGAAAAAGGAAGACACCTCTATTCTTACCTGGCCCTTTTGAAGAAGACATGCTCAGAGTTAGGAAAGGGTCACTGTTCTCAAAGACTTTTGGCTGAAACAGAGAGCAGAAGGGGGAAAAAACCATTAGAAGAAGTTGGCTTGCTAAAGATAGGAAGAGAATCATGTCACAGGAAGCCCTCACTTCACAATGGCAATTAGTATCACAATTTCCATCACCAAGCAACACAGTCCCAAAGAGCGATATGTGATTGTTCTGCTTACGTGACGGCAGTTCCGGCACTTCTAATTGCCTTTGTTAAACCAATTCTCTGCTACTGTAAAGCACAATGTTGCAGGATCATTCAAGACCTCCTGCCAGCTTCCCCATTGACTTTTGCTTGTCAGAAGCTGGTAGTGAAGGCTGTAAATGAAGATCATGTGACCATGAGAGTCTGTGATGGCCACACCTAAAGGGCCCAATGGTAAATACCCCTCGTTTAATGCCACTGCTGATGAGTATCGATAAATGAGGACTATGTGTATCACATTTAATTTATATTCTAGCATATCTCAGGATTCTTGGCAGTTCACAATTATGAAATAAAACAAGTATCCAGTTCATTTTTTAAAAAAAAATCACATCAACAACCCTAAAGAGTATTACAAATTGCCCCCAGGCTATCCACAATAACTCAGTTTCACAAGTTCCCAGAAGTTATTTCCACTGGAGTCAATCTTGTCTCTGGGGAAGCCATTCCAGGGGACCATGGCCATCACAGAAAAGCAATGCCTCTGAGCTCTGCCCCCTCATTTCACAGTTTCTCCTGGGAAAGATGTCTGAGGTAAACGAAATCCAGTGGTGGAGGCAATCCTGAAGATATCCGGGGACTAGCCATAACAGGTTTTATAAGATAAAACCAGCATATTTAACTGCCTGTGGAAACCTAATGGCAACCAGCACAACATCTGCAGAATTGCCATCACACAAGCAAAGCAGCAAGTGCCGGACAGGACAACGCATGAACCATCTCATTCTGAGTGAGTTGCCCTTTTAAAATATCTTCAAAGGCAGCCCATGTGAATATACTATAGCAGTCCAGATGCATGGTGATGTGGGCAAGGAGTTGTTGTAATAAGGGTAGAAGCTGCAACTGGCACAGCAGATAGAACTGGGCAAAAGACCACTTGGCCGCATCCTTTCCTTGACTCTGGAAGACTTCCAAGTCACAGGTCTGTTCCCCCAGAACATTTGCACAGAAGAACACTAAGTGTTGATCATCTGTGGAGACGTTCCAGAGCTCCAAACCTTAAATACCACCACTTTCACTCTGCTGCAATAATGGCTGTCTGCTCTGACCACCATGGATTTCTGAAATGCTTTCACTCAAAAGACTTGTTTGACTTTATATGCCGGCTCCATTTGCCCAGGTTCTCAGATCTTTGTGATTTTATAATACATTGGGGCAATACTGCTGGATCCATTGCTGTTTTGCAAGTTATTCTAGAGAATTATTAGTCTAAGGGGTGGAATAATAAATAAGTGATTCTAAATCAAGGGTCTTCAAACTTGGCAAGTTTAAGACTTGTGGACTTCAACTCCCAGAATTCCTGAGCTAACATGACTGGAGGAGGATTTCTGGGAGTTGAAGTCCACAAGTCTTAAAGCTGTCAAGTTTGAAGACCCCTATTCTAAATGATTAAAACAGCTACAGCATCCAATTACTCTCTGGATATTGGAGCCTCCTCCAGATTGGTTATGGAGACTGGGATGATGCCATCTTTATGCTTTGTGGCTACTGTGCTGATATTATGTTGGCATTATGTTCCTTTGGTAAATATTTGGTAAAATCACAGGATTGGAATGGACCTCGAGGTCTTTTAGTCCAACTACCCTGCCTAGTACAGGAATCCTTATATCACCCTAGACCAGAGGTCTGCAAACTTGGCAACTTTAAGACTTGTGGAGTTCAACTCCCAGAATTCTCCAGCCAGCATAGCTGGAGAATTCTGGAAGTTGAAGTCCACAAGTCTTAAAGTTGCCAAGTTTGGAGACCTCTGCCCTAGACAAATGGCTGTCCAATCTTTTCTTTAAAACCTCCAGTGATAAAACATCCACAACTTTAGGAAGCAGTCTCTTCCGCTGTTTAATAGCTCTCTCAGTTAGGAAATTCCTCCTTATTTAATGTTTGGCTATCCCTCTGTAAAGTTTCCAAGAATTGCATCTTATTTTATCCTCATGTGTTCTGAGAATAAACCCACAGTCTCTTCCCTGTGACAACCCTTCTTGCATCAGAAATCTCTGCTTAGCCTAATCTTCTTTAGACTAAATATACGTCAAGTTCCTTTAACTACTTTTCACAGAATTTATCTTCCAAGCTTCTCATCATCTTTGTCACTTTTCCCTGTATTCTGTCCTCTTTCAGATTTCAATCACACGCAGTTGCTAAGAGACAATTTACTCCAGACTTAAGGAAACAAATGGCAGACAAGCAAAGGAGCATAAATCAAACCGTCTCTACAGGCTGCAAGGCTTGTCCTGAGTAGATTTCACTTTCCGAAGAAGCACACAGGCGGCTACTCAAGATCCAATCCAAAGTCAGGAGAGCCAAACATGATTTGTCAGCTGCTTTGAGAATCAGTTTTTCAGATTTCTCATACAATCAGGAGACGATGGCATGTCAGACACAGAAGATCTGATAGTTGCTTCCAACAAGGAAATGTGGGTCACAGCTGCCTCTTAAATTAAGGCTTCAGCCAGCTGTATTTAATTAAGGCAAGCACTCCCTTGTTGGCAAGAAGCCTAGCTAAGCATCTTTTCTCTCTCTCTCTCTCTCTCTCTCTCTCTCTCTCTCTCTCTATCCCTCTCCCTCCCTCCCTCCCTCCCTCTTTCTCTCTCTCTCTCTCTATCCCTCCCTCCTTCTTCCCCCCACTGCAGAGTCCTGGGGCTTTGAAGCCACACTGCATCGTCTGACAGCTGCAGCTTTGCTGATGCTGTCTGTGTTTGATCAGCTTCAGAAGATTCCTCACTTGGTGTCTTCTGAGGCTGACACTCCATCGGTTCAGCTGAAACAGCTCCTTTACATTGAGAGTTATCTACGTCAGTAGTCGCCAACCAGTGGGCCGGGGACCCCTGGTGGTCCGCGAGAAAATTCTGGTGGTCTGCAGAGAAATGTCACCTCCAAAGCACCCCGCAAAGCAATTAATCCAGGCTGCACGGGAACACAAGTCTGCACTGCCCTTGTGGGAACACAAGGCTTGTGTCGCTTGCATTGTGAACAACACGAGGTAGTGAGGAGAGGGGGGAAAGGGCAGAGGGGGGGAACTTGCCCCACTTGCCTTCCCTGGCCACCAGGCTGCTTCTTTCCGATTCTTTCTTCTTCTGCTTTTGGCTGCATGCAAGGAAAGCAGCAACAGTCTTTCTTTCTCTCACCCAAACTCTGCCAGAAATGAGTCTTTGGGATCCTGGAAGGCCTCTTGCTCCAAGAGGCTGCGCCGGCGCAACAAGTCTCACAAAGACTCATTTCTGCTGCTTCTGCTGCTTTCCTTGCATGAAGCCAAAAGTCTCTCTCCCTCTCTCTCTCTGTCTCTCCCCCTGAGAATGGAGCTGGAGATGGTATCCTGCGATCCCAAATAAAGAATGATCAATCAGTAGGAAAACAGGATGGGGAATTTTCCTGCAGACTTTTTTGGGGATTTTCCCAGGGTCTCTGGTCCGTGGGATTTTAAATTATGAGTTTGGTGGTCCCTGAGGTCCAAAAGGTTGGCGACCTCTGATCTACGTCATGGGTCATGACATGCTGTTTCCGGTTCCTTGGCATTCTTTTGTATTGTGGTGACCAAAACTGGACACTGCATTGCAGGCGTGGTCTGACCTGTGCAGCCCAGAATGGTACACTCACTTCCCGTGATCTTGATTTTCATATGAATAACTTATAGCTTTAATGTAATGCTTTCTTATTGTAGATTTTTAGCTATACAGTTGTGGATTTTATTAATCTTCCTTTTTTGTTAACCATTCAACTACAGTGGGGCAAAAGTCTAAAGCAGGGGTGTCAAACTTGCGGCCTGTGAACCAGATGCATCATGCACTGGCTGCCCCCGCCCCGTGATTTAGCAAGGGGGGGAAGTGGCAACACGTCACGTGACGACAATGTGATGCCATAAGTTTGACACCTCTAGTCTAAAGAATAAATAGAATAAGCCAAGCCTTCTTACTTTAGAGGGCAGTGTGGAATTTTGCAAGAATGGGTCTGAAGTGAATGGATCACTTTTTTCAGCCTTTTTAAAGAAATCCTCAGGCACAGATGTCCGGAATGGGTCACTTTCTTTAAACGGATCACCTCCAAATGGATCTGATGTAAGACAGTTAAAGGTAGAAGATTAACAGGAGATTAAGACAAATCAAGTACAGGAAGGCTGATTTTAACTGAATGTTAGAAAAGCCTTTCTAAACTACAAGTACAGCAAAACCCACTATCCAAAGAAGTAGAAGGTGTCCCTTCACTTAGATGTGTTCAGGGGACCGAGGACTGTCTATTCTGGAATACTTTAACTTAAATCATTGAAGAAGGAATTGGACTACATGGCCCTTTCCAACTCGATGACTCTACAAATTTAATAGCCATTTTAATGTTAACTATTTATATATTCAATTTATATGCTGCCCATGTCGCTGGGAGGTGAGACTAGGAGGCTTAGTTTACTTTATTATCATTGCACCTTGTACAACGAAATCAAACACCATCTTCAGTGCACATCATGACCATGACTATGAAAATAAACACAAACACACATCCTTCACCCTCCACACATTGAACTGGAAACCCCTGACACCGCACCAACACTGCACTATACAGCAGAATTCAAAAGAGCTATTGCCCTGGGATAGAAGCTGTTTTTCAGCCTATTTGTCCTTGTTTTTATTATTCTGTACCGTCTGCCAGATGGTAATAGTTCAAAAAAAGAATGCCCAGGATGAGATGGATCTTTGAGAATGTTTTGAGCTTTCTTAAGGCAGCGGGAGCTATAAAGCTCTTCCAAAGAGGGGAGAGGGCAACCAATGATCTTCTGGGCAATGACGTTATCCCTCTGGACTGGAGTGCTTTCCTAACTGCCACTGTACAATTGGCAAACCATACAGAGGTGCAGTATGTTAAAATGCTCTCTATGGTGCAGCAATTAATTACAATAATTAAAAGCTAATAAAAACATTAAAACATTAAAGCAATAGATAGTCACATTAAATTAATTAAAAATGACAGAGATGAGGAGGAAGGGAACAAGATACAGGGGTGAGAGGGGAGTTGAGGTCTTGTCTTAATCCATTAACCACTTCCAGAATGTGCCCCTAGGCCACTTGGCAGAGCCAAGTCTTCAGTCTATTTTGAGGGCCTAAAGGGTGGGTGTGGATTTCATTGGGTGGGGGGCAGAGGTGGGCTTCACATGATTTAACAACCAGTTTGCCTACTGGAGAACCTTCCGCGCTTGCACACAGCTTCAAACACACGGCGATTTCATGCACGCGGTTTCCAGCACACCCTCTCGGGCAGCCGCGGTGAGAAGAGCGGGCAGGGCACGGGAATCAGCTAGGCTGTGTGGGCAGGGCAAGCGAGCCAGAGAGTGAGATAAATGCGACAGGATAGCACCGGGGCGGGTAGGTGGGCGTCAAAACTACTGGTACGGGTGAACCGGTCCGAACCAGCAGCAGCCCACCACTGGGGGAGCGGGAGAATGGGGAAGAACAATGTTCCAAAGGGCAGGAACCACAGCAGAAAAGGCTCTTCTCCTGGATAACTGCTACTATTCTAACTATGGGATGCTTTGCTTTGTTATGATGTACTACAGCTAGTTTTAATCACCATGCATGAACCTACCAACTATAATTCATATTAGATTATATGGTTTCCCCTTACTGGCTTTTGTTACAAAAATACTACTGTCTAGGCACCTCGCATCCAGAGACAGAAACTCTTTTAACTTTTAAAGTAATAAATAAATAATATGAACCTTTAATATGAACCTTACCAGCTGCTGCAGGAGGCTGTTCAGCAAAAGGGTCATTCTGAAAAGGGTCGCCTGTGTGAAGGAAGAAAGAAATCAGAAATTAAAAGCCACCGAAACCAACACTAAGAAAATAGGAAGTTGAAAACACAGTTTTTAGGTGCATTTTTTCATCAAGAGACATGTTTTTGCTTTGCTTCTGAAATGTCTTGATAATGAGAAACAGTGCACTTGCAGATTCAAGGCAGACTGTTAGCAATAGGCTGTTGCTTCTGTCTTTTTTGTCTGGGCAGCGTTTAAAGTGCCAAACAGCCCCCTGTCCTATGGAAACTTACTGCCTTTGAAGGGATCTGCTCCTTTGAAGGGATCTTCAGTTTGGAAAGGATCCGTCTGCAACTCCTGGGCATTATTGCTGAAAAGTAGAGCTTTGTTCTTGAATGGATCATCCTGGAATCAAACATAAAATGATTACGAAGGTCAGATGAACAGCAGGCAAAGGTGCAGGGTTTAAAGGACCTCTCAATCAAGGTGGCCATGATAAACATCACTTAATATGATACTCTTTCATAGTTTCAAGGTTAGCTCAATTTAACCAACTGCATCCTTATCCCTAATTTTAACTCAATAGCCCTCGTTCTAGACATGCTTATTTATCTTGTATACTGAAACTATATTTATCGGACACCAAAATATAACTTCATGGGGCTGAAGTGTAACAGGCATTAGATTTTGTTTTTCTAACCATTTTTTTGCAGCTTTTACATTTTAAATTAAAAATGAACTTCCAATGACAATGTGGCTAGATCCTTATTAATCATTAGTAGACCCTTATTAAAATCTTCATATAATGGACATAAAAGTCCTTTTTTAACATAACCCAATGGGCATCTCCTTGCAGCTCATCTGAAATCCAGCTGCTAGGACTAGACTCCACAATCCTGATATTTGGGCAACATAAAGAGCTGCGATCCAAATGGGCAAGACAGGACAAGCTATCCAACAAAAGAGGTTTTCTTTTTTAAAATCAAGAACTTTATTTTTGCAGAGGTGGGCAACCCATTATCAATTTCACCCAGTCTGTAGTCCCTAGATAATTTCCATGAAATCTGCTACAATCTGTAGCAAATGCAGAATATTTGGCAGCATTATTTCCAGTTTCTAAATTGGAATAAAGCGCAAATTATTCATTTCAGTTTCTCCTCATTTCTCTAAGGCCATCCTCATGCTATCAGTTGCATATCCTTTAGCCCTCAGAGGATGATGTTTTTAAAATAAAAGCGCACCCCACCAGCTTCCAAAACACTGCCAGGTCCCGTTGTCGGGTAATCCTCAAGATACTAGCTGATCTGGACTGATATCAATGAAGCTCAGCAGAATCAGAACTTGCTAGTAATACTTGGAGATCACTAGGAAATTTGGGGCTTGTGAGCTGGTCAAAAAATATCCCCAAACAATGGCAAATCGTTCCATAGAGTTGCCAAGAAAACAAGATTGGCCTATCCTTGGAATCACCAGGGGACAACTTAAATTCAGTGAAGGTTTCATTGCCATCACTATCTTAGGGTGAAAAAGATGTTGAAAAACACCAACTGAGAATGGAGAAGAGGGTAGAAATGGGTGGCATCAAAGGGTGTGTTCTTTTCCGCTATGAGGGTAAAGGTTCGTTCTCCAAGCTTGTTCTGAAGAACAATGACATCCCCTAAACTCTGCTGAAGATGTTGCCTAGCTTGGTAACAAAACGTTTCGAAACCAACCCACAAACTCAGAGAATGAACCTTCACTCTCATCCTACATCTGAGCTGCAGATATTCACCACTATTGTAAATTTTTCAACTATTCTTTTCCACACCTTTTTTTTTATTCCCTTCTCTCCAAACACATTCCTCCACACCTAGGACCACGCACACATGTACTCCATCTATTCTACACAATTTCTCACCAAAGTCCCAAACCCGGCCCGGTCTTTTTGGATGTTTCCCTCATTCAGATCTGCCAGGTTAGTCATGCTGCCACTGTGAAGTCCATTTAAAGCTTCATTGTATTGTTCAATGCTCTGGTTGGCTTCCTGAAGGGTCTCTTGAAGCCGAGATAACTTACTCCTTGCCTGTAAGAGGAAGGATAGAACCAAGGTTAGAAAGAGTCCGCTGATTAAAAAGCTTTCATCTTCCCACCTACAGGCCTAAAGTAATAGAACGGAAACTGGAAGGAGCCATTTAGGACACTTGTCCAAACCCAGGGCAGATTAAAGCATTCTGGACTGATGGCCTCTGCTTGAACATACCAAGTAAAGGGGAATCCACCACCGCTCTGGATAAATAGTTCTACTAATGTATTTCCCCAAAAATACAACCTACCCTGAAAACAAGCCCATGCCAGATTTTCACACCTGCGCCTAATATAAGCCCTATCCCCAAAATGATTCCTAATTAAACCCCGCCCACTGTCTGGTTGTACAAGGTGAGGCATGGCAAAGGCATAAAAATCAAGCAAGGCCAGGGGTGGGGGACTGAAGCCCACACTGCCTGCTTCCGCTTACCTTAGGACCACCACAGCCAGGCCTCCCATGCCCCAACACCTGTCGTTCTGCTTCCCGACTTCTTCTGCAGCTGCTTGTGGCCACTTGTGGCCAGATACCACGTGGTGCACTGTGCCACTGCTGCTGCTTGCACATGCAGTGGCACAACAAAACATGCACCCTCCTGCCGCAAGCAGTGGCACGATGAGCCATGTGGCGTCTGGCCGCGAGTGACCGCAAGCAGCTGCAGAAGAAGTCAGGCAGTGGCGTAACTGATGTCGGAGTGTGGGAGGCCTGGCTGCGGCGGTCCTAAAGTAAGCGGGTAAGACTTCCCCCGAAAACAAGACTTGGTGTTTGTGGCCGAAAAGAAAATAAGACTGGGTCTTATTTTGGGGGAAACACAAGTATCAAGTTATATTTACTTTTACATACAGTAGATTTTCTTATCATCTTAAAAGGTAAGAGGTGCAACTTTTAGATCAGTTTCACCTGTAACCCTCACCACCACTCATTTAATGATCGTTTGAAGATACAATGTCACTGAAAAAGGTTCTCGTACTTATAACCATAGCTGAATCCCCATAGTCACAGGATCAAAATTTGGACACAACCGCATATATTTATGACAGTTGCAGCACTTAACAATTACAATGATTAGCTTAATAACTGTTAACAAAAAAAAGTCTGAAAACTGGGAGCTTCTCACTGCCTTGTTTAGCAATGGAAATTCTGTTTTCAATTGTGGTCATAAATTGAGGAGTGTCTCTTCTGAATACCTTTAAAAATAAGGCCGAAGCATACACGTTTTTTGCACTCTGATCTCATACTACAATTTTCAAAAAAATGACATCAGAAAAGGTTTCAGTATTTGTGAAAACATTTAGAATAGGTTTTAGGATAAAAGCGGGATTTTATGTTTTTGTTAATTTCCCCTTAAATCTGGGGGTTAAGTTGAATAAAAGCTGCAATTAAAACCAAAGCAGGGAGATAAGGGACTGTTTCCTCTTCCAAGAGAAAAAAAGTGGAAAGGGACTTTGGCTTTCAGAAATGGAAAACCTCTAATGAATGGATAGAATGAGGCACGTCTCCTTAAAGAAGAGAATAACAATGTCAGCATGGTAAGTTCTAGTATCCTGAACCTACAAAAAAGATCTGATTGACTAGTCAGCCTTTGACCCAAAAATGGGGAAGACAAGAATCTTATTATTAGAAATGTTCACACTACCTGGTTAATTTCTTCCTGAGTGGATTTTAAAGATTTGATTATTGTTTCCAGTTGTACTTTCCCAGCCTGGATGCTCTGCTCCAACTGGGTCTCTTCCTGCTGAAGCCGATTCAACTCAGTTTTTGCTCTACTGATGTCGTCTTCTTGGGACTTTAGATCTGATTCCTGGGACTGAATCTGCATTTTTAATGATGTGATCTAAAACAAAGATTTCAACTCAGATTTGGTAGCAGGAAAAGCTTTTAAAAACTAGTGTGAAGTTGAAAACCACCTGCTACTTCCCATCTCGGCATCTTATACCCGACTCAGACCAGCACCAAATATGGAGGGTTGGTTTAGTCAGGACAGATGAGAAGGTAGTTGATAAGATTTCTATGCCATAAATTTATTTGCGCGGATTTATGGATAAACTTTGGTTAAGTTTACTTTGGTCAAACTCTTTGAAAATGGTATCCTCATATAACTCAACTTAGGAGTATGTTCAGTAAGTTCTTTGAACTTTTCTCTCATTCTTTGAAGGAATATTTTACATTCTAGGGAATAAAAAGAATTGAAAATGGATTTCTTCCCACTCAGCCAGCATCTTTCACACTCACCACTTGTGACTCCTCCTGGCACTTTTGCCTTACATCATTTAACATATCTTTCAGCTTTGCCTTTTGTTGATCCATCTCATCCAAGCGATCTTGAGCATCTTGCTTTTGAGCCTCCAGTTCTTGCAAGCTACCGGTTTCCCGGTCTAAATCGTTTTGCAGTTCCTGCAGAATGTTTGTTAAACACAGCTCTATGAAGATGTGAACTAGAGCATCATTCACACACACACACACACACACACACACACACACACTTAACATGGAAGATACTAAAGACGCAGCAACAAAATAAAGTAGAGCAATTATCAGAGCATCTTGTCATCCTGGTTCCGAAGGTTACAGACTTGAATATTTATCAGGAAAAAAAAGAACTACATCAAAGCTAAGAATTATTTCTGTCTCCTGGAAGAATAAAAAGGGGCTGAAGGACTAAAAACTTATATCAGACACTAATGAGGAAAAGTTGGGGAAAGTTGCTGAGAAAGTAGTAGTAAGGCTGAAACACTGAAGGGCTCAGGAGGAAACAAATTATGTGAATCTGTTGCAGTTGGGTTTCAGGATGAGATTAGCATCAGGAAGGCACTGATTGCATATGTAAGCGACCTCTCATTGGCCTGGGATGTGGGCAGTGTATCTCCTTGATCTTTCAGTAGCTTTCAGTGCCATTGATCATGAAATCCCTTTAGATGGGCTGAAGAGGCTGCAAGTGGAGCAGACAGCTCTTTGATAGGTTTTCTCTTTGTTCAGAGGTACAATCGATGTTGGGGGTCACGGATTTAAGTATCATCAGCATGCTACAAAACTCAATTATACATTTCCGCCTTAGGATGTCCAAAGGATGCTACTGATGTTCTTTCTCAGTGCTTGGAGGCTGTGAAGTCTGGATGGGGAAGAACCATCTTTCGTTCAATCCTGGTAAAACTGAGTGGCTGTAGGCTTAGGGTCTCTTGTATGTAGTGATTTTCCATAATTAATTCTGGATGTGGTAACACTCTTTCAGGCAGGGTTGGTGTGCCCTCTGGGGGTTCTCTTGGACTTGTGGTTTCTACTCAAGAAGCAAATGGTGGCTGTGGCAAGAGGACTTTGTACAGTTATATCTGGTTTGCCAGTTACAGCCATTCCTAGACCAGGAGGCATTGATCATGCCTCTCATTATCTTAGTCACTCCAAATTGGATTATTGTAACATGCTCTACGTGGGGCTACCCTTGAAGAACATTCAGGCTTCACCTGATCTAATACTCAGCAGAGTTGGTGTGCTATCTTTGTGCCAGTATTGGGTACATCATGACGCGTCCACACAATATTGCTGCTACCTGAACTGCACTGTATCTCACTGGGCTATTGAATGTAAGCCAACTGCTGCTTATTATCTTTAAAGGCCTACATAGCAGGAGAAGCCTGTTACCTGCAGTAGTGCTTATGCTTCACTGTTTCAGTCTATCCCAGTAAGCCTGACACAATGGCCTTGCTCTAGCTTCGATTAAGGAAAGTGTGTCACCCAGAAAATGTGCCTTCTCTGTCATGGTGCCTGTCTTATGGAATGAATCTGTCTAGCTAGTTTCTCCTTGGGAAAATGCATAAACATATACATGTGTTAAACAAACCAAAAACCCCTCTTCCACATGTGTTATAAAGCCTAAGGACTATCTGTCATTTATCATTTTGGGAGCCATGCTTGATTGGATCACTGATAGAACTTTTTTTTAAAAAGGAGATCAAAACCCAGGATATCAAGAGTTTATTCCCCACCAATTCCAACAAAATCTTTTCCATGACCAGTGCTAAAACATTGCAGTCACCTCACAATGGGAGAAAAGACAAGGCTCGATAGATATCAGGATAACTAGTTGGATTCTAGAGAAGGGATTATTAAACAAATAAAATCTTATATTCTTCATTTTTTCCCTCAAAAATACGTAAGGGAGAAGAGAGAAAGAAGGGAAAATCTCTTTTAATCCATCCCCAAGCCCTTGGAGAAAAAAAAATTGGGGTTTTTTTTTTTTTTGAAGAAAATTATTTTTCTTGGTAGAGGATTTAGTTGGTCTTATAACTTTTGAACTTTTAGTTATCTTAAGACAGATGGACATATAGACACAGCCATTCATAGCATTACCTGAACTTCATTGGTTTTCTGCCGGATAGCTCCTTCTCTTTCTCGGATGTCTTGTTCCAGAGAATATTTCTCTCTACAGTGTAAACAAAATAAAAAATAAAAAATCATGCCAGACATGTTTGATTTTCTTCATCTAGCCCAGGAATCCCAAAACCATGGGCTGTGGCTGAAGGTTGATTCAGTCTTCTATCTTTCCAAGGTCAGAAAAATGAGGATCCAGATTGTTGGGGACAATATGCTGATTCTAAACCACTTAGAGAGGGCTGTAAAACCTTGTGAAGTGGTATGTACGTCTAAATGCTATAGCTATATGGGCTTGTTAACACTGACTGGCTGGAAGAAAAAAAATAATTACAAACTGAGATATGCATTAAATAACTCAGGTAAAAATCCTTCCAACTAAATCTGAATATTGAAACCATGAAAAAAAATGATATCATTGATGTTTTAGTTCTAATTAGAAAATGACACTCTCACAAATATATAATTAACACTGACTTTAGTTACCTGTTGCAACAAATTTGGGTCCTTGAATCATGACAACAAAGCACCACCTCTCCAAACAAGTTTCAAAGAGGAAGTTGTGATTCTAGTTATATTGCTAAGAAGTAAGTTTTTCTATTCCTACAACCATGAGCATTTCTAGCAATGCAAAACTTGTTTTCTAGAACACCTAAAGAATCTCAGCTTACCAAAGCACAAATTCATTCTTAGGAATCAAAATAATTCTCAGAAAAGGCCATCTTCTGCAGCTAAAACTAAAGCATTATAAAATGGGACAAAACTCACGTTAACAAATGTCTCAGTAAGCAACAGAAATTTTGGGCTCAATTGTGGTTATGAGCTGAGGTCCACCTGTACTTTGCAGTTGCATTAATGGCAGTTTTATTTTGTTTATGGAATTTAGTTGGATTTTTAAAACACAGCATTCTATACAGAGGTGGAATTCAGCAGATTCTGACCAGTTCTGGAGAATCGGTAGTGGAAATTTTGAATAGTTCGGAGAACCAGCAAATGCCACACCTCTTGACTAGAGATTTTACAGTATCCTTCCCCTGCTACGCCCACCAAGTCACGCCCACAGAACCAGTAGTAAAAAATATTGAATCCCACCAATGATTCTATAGAAGAAAAGGTCAATAACGAGGCTATTCTAGAGAGTAAGGAAGAAACCTTTGATGGAGATATGCAGGTACTATTGTCTAAACAAGAGGGGCTGAATCAAAATACTGGATTTTCTGGATTTTTTTTTAACTGAGCATGGAAAAAAATACCATTTGGAAATGGCTCAAGAAGACGCCTCCCTCCTTCACTGGAGTGTAAGAAGGGGAAGGAGCTTCAGTACAATCAGACCTGCAAGATTCCAATTATTATAGCCCAACTCAATAAAAGTAGTTTTAGCTTTTCTGTGGAGTTGATTTCCTGCTCTGATCCACCTTTTGAGGCTGTTGGTTACAGAACATCACATGTAACCATTAATTTACAGGCTACATCAGACTTCGCATATTAAAACTGCTACACAATAGATTGTATTAAAATAAACTTTGCAAATCATGAGATTGTCTAAAGAGACAACTCTCTCATCCCCAGTTCTCGGTCACAGCCAAATGTATTTGTTTTACCTTTGTAGCTGTGCAATCTCTTGGCTGATATCATCCAGTTCTTTCACGCCAGTGAATTCCCCTGATCCAACAGAACTGGAACTGTCCTGTTAGAAAGTAAACAGTCCCATTGAAGCAGCCAAATCCCATGTCACACCCAGCCTCACGAGCCCATTCATTTCGGACATTTAGTACTTTTCATTCAAGCATATGGCAGGTCTCTTGCATTTCCATTCTACAGATACACAACTCCAGCCACTGGCATGTGGAATGGGATACAGCAACCCTTAAATTATGCAAATACCCAGCTGGTGAACCGTCTTGCAGAAAATCAAATTTTCAAGCAGCAGAAATAGCAAAAAAAAAAAAAAGTCTGACCAGACAAGGATGAAACAGCTTTGAAAGGAAAAAAAAAGCAAAACCTCACACAAAGGATGCCGGCAAAAAAACACACGTCTGAATCAAGATCCACTTTTATCTATTTTGAGCTGCTATTAGGAATCATTTCAGATGACTCAGGAACAGCAGAATTCCTCCTTTTTCATCAGCCACCCCCCACCCCTACCCTCCGCGTCATGTGGGGGAAGCTCCACAAAGCTGCGTAGGTGGGGGGAAAAAAGGTGTTTTGCATGGACAAAGCAAGTGCCACCTGAGGTTTGATGGGGAGGGGCTGCGTTCTTCAGAGTGCCCCGTTTACTCACACGACGCATTTCTGTGAGTGTCGAGATCTCAGTTCCTACAGAGGCCAAGTAGCCTGAGAGAGTCTAGAGGAAAAAAGGACAGGGGGGCAGGAGCTCAGGCAATTCTGGGGAAAGTGAAACAAGAGGACTTGCACAGTCTTCCACAGAACCATAGGAAAGAGGAGGAAACAAGAGAACAGGAGCAGGGACAAGCAAGAAGGTGAATTCACTGCATCCGAGCCATGGTGATTTAGGGACAGCAGTCCGCGAGAGCCATCTTTTCAACTGCTGAAACCTGGCACTGGCCTTCGGACATCTTTATATGCATACTAGGCAACCCATTCTTCTTTCTACACATAATATAGGCTTGTGCCATTTTCCTTCCCCTCAGGACAGCCTGGTGAAGCTGCCACTGCCTCCTCCTCGGCTGACCTGCAGAACTCCTTGCCACTTTTCTGAGGGGGTGGGAAACAAATACAGCACAAGGAAAATTGAATCCGAGTCACCCATCCTTCCCTCAAAGGACCCAGCCATTAAGACATTTACAAATATTGGCCTCATTTCCAAAGTAGTCAATGGCTGGCCACTTATCGAGCCTTGCTGCCAGCTGATTGGGCACAAGGCCAAAGGGAGGAGGGAAAGAGGTAAGGATAAACCCTTCCCATCTTGCCTTCGACCACACCACCTATTGGTTTCTGGGAAGTGCAGCCAGAAGGTGTGGAGGTCACAACTTTCCTAAATTTTTACCCCTACAGGAGACTGGGCATTCTGTATATTAAGCCATTTGGGTTACTTTGGTTCAACAGTTGCTGCCCTATATTTTCCAAATCTCCCCATTTGAAGGTTACAAACAAACAGACCCAAGAGCTTTAGCAGTATACAGATTCAAAACAAAAACATCAGGAGCAAACAGGGCTACCTTTCTTGCTCCAAATATGGTCTCATGTTTTTGGCAGCAGGAAGACAAAATCATTTAACAGTAAATAGGTTCAAGAACTTTCCCCTCCTGCAGCATATCAGTTGCCAAAGGAAAAGGCAAGCAAGGTCCTTATGAGAGTGTCAGAATAGATGTCTATGCTATCAGTTCACCTGGACAGGAGTGGTCCTTTCGGAAGGAGGGATCATATCTGGGAGCAGCACCTGTGGTGGGTCAATGCCTTTGCTGACCTTCTGCTGAATGAGGTACATGGCGAGTGCAAACTGATCTTTGTTGAGCTTTCCCATTTGCCTTGTATCAGCCAATGCCCTGCCAGAAAAATAAATAACAGACTGCTTCCATAGACGTATCTCAGAAGTTTTCAGCTGATTCCACAGCTTATTCAATCTCAAGACAGCATCTGTGGCATTAAGAGCAATGCCTGTACTTTCCATAAACGAATAAAAAGGACAATTTTACACAGTACTTTTGATTGGAAAACGTCATCTCGTATGATTAAAAGAGAGAGAAGAGAAGGAAAATTCATACCATATATGTGCTAGGAGGTTCTGGGAAAGCCCCGAGTGCATGAAAATATCCTTCACTTCCTGGCCGCTCACAAAGCCATCCAGGTCCAAATCTGTCTTCAGAAATATTTCATCATAGCGAATCTTGTCAGTCAAGGGCACCACCCAGTTTGCAGATGGCTGAATTAAGAATAGAGCCTCTTAATTCACTGATTTTGCAGATGAAAGTGTTATATAAGTTACATCCTAGACAAAACATCCCACTGCCAATTTTCTCCAAAGTTACTTGGGCAGAAAAATTGTCCCATTGTTGGCTGTACATCACTACTCCTTCCAGTTTCCCCAGTATTCTTCAGTCTGCACAAATACAAGTTTATCTAAAAATTAAGCTTATAGTTTTAACCTACTTTGGTTTCAATTATTCAGGATAAAGGTCCTGAGAAGAGACTTCTTCACTGTACAATCCCAGAAATCATCCATCATGAGCAATTTGGCAGCATGTCAAGCTCAGCTCCCTCCTAAGAAGTTTCTACTAAGTTACACTGAGTTAAAAAGAACAGCATTTAAAACCAGATAGGCTAGTTGCAAGTGGCATCCTTAGAAAGATCTCAAGTAATGGTCAATCTACCAATCACTTGTGGAGGCGCTCTGTTCAAAGGACATAATTTGCTTCTCATTGCTTTTCTTGGGGAATTCTATGAAAGAAGAGTTTTGTCCACTATTTGGAGTTTTTCCAGATAACCAAATAGTCATTTCTGAAGTAGAATACCGAATAGGATCAAATTTGGCACAAATGTTACATTAAGTACGGAAATCAATACTGAACTTCTAGTCAGATCTATTATACTTACATGCCACAAATATAGAGATCTCCTAGACCTAGACACAATCCTTTCTACACATACATATTCCAATTAAAAAAAAAAAAGGGGGGGGGGGGGAAGGCTCACCTTTGCACAATATGCTCGCATCATCTGCCAGAGGCTACACCTACCTGTGTTTGCTTCAGGCTGTGTTTGGGGGATAAACTTCCTGTGCTGTTGAGGCTGTTGACGCTGCCGTGTGACGGAGTGGACCGCAAACTGTCTTTGGGGGGAGGACTGGCTGGAAGAACTGGCACTGCCCCAGGAAAGATTGGCACTTTCTTCCGCTTGGAAGGTGGAACAAGAGATGGGGGCAACACAGAAGGGACGGGTTCCTTCTCAAGGGCACGGTAGACCAGGTGCATCGCCTGCAAGGCCCAGAGGGAAAAGACGTCTGCAGAGGGCAACAAGGAGGAGGAAGAGGAGGAGAAGGAGGAGGAGGAAGGGAAGATGGCGGAGAGGTAGTGCCAAGCATGAGAGAGCAGGTCAGGCAAGGGCTGGAGGGAGGGAGGCTGGACTAACAGAGGTGGATAGAACCCTGGGAAAAGGAAAACTAACCAAGGAGTTTGATATTGTGGGTTCCTACTGTGATCAGCCTCTTCTATGCAAATGTTGGCTTGGGACATAACCCTGTCCCTGACCTGGAGAGTGAGGCACTCAGGAACCCCCTTTGGTTACATGACAAAAGCAAGCAGAGGGAACTTACCACGGCAAACTCATCTCTGTCAAGGTGCCCATCTTTATCAATATCACTGAGATCCCACACCTATAATCATATGGGCACAAAGGTAAGGGGGAAAAAGGATGTATCAGAAAAGTAGTTAAAGGAATGTTCTTTTAAAAAAAAGACATTTCATTATGGTTTGTCGTGGATAACCCCAGATTTTTTATTCAGCTGGTTAATTGTTTTTGTACCCCCCCCCAAATAAGCAAGTCTAATAATTAGCTGACCGTAACCTAATTAACAATTTAAAAACTTCAATAACTGATTAGAAGCAAAACATAAGGCAAGAGGCACGATAAGTAGATTTCAAAAGCACATGCAAAAGAGTGAGGAAGACTAATATTTGAGCAATCTGATTTTGAATACAACTCTTTCAGCTGATCGTTTCTCAGCTCCCTCATTTTTTTAAAGGCAGCAAGATAAATAAATCGAAACTGAACTTTAAGAGCCCAGATTGCTTGAAATTCTGGGTAGGGTCCAGTTTTGTGTACCCCGGTACAAATATTTGCTTCAATTGAAAGCATCGGAAGGCCAGAGGAATACACTCAGATTACATAGATGAAAAAAAAGGGTAGAATTTTGCTTACCCTTCCCAAGACATCAAGAGGTAGTTTGGAGTTCATCAATACTGGCTTCACTTTGTCTCCCGAAAGTAAACCATTGACTGGTAAAAGGCTTTCAAAAATGCCATCGAACTTGGCCCTCTCTTCCACCTAGTTAAGAAGGAACAGACTAAAATTGGTTTATGCTGAGGTGTAAGATGTTGTTTTCCAAAGATTGCAAAACATTACTGCCTTGAATTCGGTTTTCTATTTCCATATTAAGTAATGCTCTTGTATGGGCAAGTATTAGAGGCTATTAATCAAAAATTATGCCATATAACTGTCTTTTCTTCCACCATGAATCCTTTGTGGAAGGAGAAAAACGTGAAAGAAGCAGGAGGAAAGCACAAGATAGTTTCAAATGGAAGATAATATTGCCTGGACTCCCTGTAAAATTTTGCAAAGAAAGCAGGGGGACTGCATAGTTAAAAGTCTCACCTGGAAACATCAAAGAAATAATGCTACAGGTGATCCTCATTTAACAACCCCAACTGGGACCAGCAACTTGGTCATTAAGCAAAGTGGTTGCTAAGTGAAACTGTGACTGTGCTTATGATCTTATTTCAGCTTCCCCATGCTTTACAGACCTGCAAAGGTCGCAAATGGAAGGACTGGTCGCAAAGGTGTTTTTTCAGTGTAACTGTAAATAGTTGTTAAATGAGGCAGTTACTAAATGAGGAGTAACTATAAAGAATGTTTGTAAGTTCCCTTAAATTATTGTCAAGGTTTTCTAAATGTTGCATATACATTCCCTGGTAAATGTTGCACTAGGAAAATAGTAAATTCAGCTTCATGCTGCTTACAGTAATTTACACGAAACAGGGATTAATCATTCAGATTAATTAAAAAAAATAGAGTTCAATTGGGGCACAAAGTTTAAAAGCTTAATTAAGAAAAGGGTCTCCTTACTGGACCAGTGAGGCCAACTCATACTTTTCTCTTGAATACTTACTCTGACAGCCCAGTGAGCATCTGTGGAAGCCAGCAGCAGGGGGCTTGTATTGTCGTGCTATAACAACAAATAAAATACATCAAAGCACTTCCTATGGTTTTCTTTGAAATATAGAAATACTTAACTGAGGCAGCCAAGCCTCAAGTCATAAAGTTTATCAGCCACATTTAGGAAACCAAAAACTCTTAATTCTGTATCTGTCAGACACCACTTATGTTTCTGTCAAAAACAGCCCTTTTCAAGGCAATATTAAAAAACTTACAAATTTTGGAGGAGGTAACGTCAAATGTAAGTTGCTGAGAATGACATCGTGGCCACTCTGGGCACAGGCAACCAGCCGCAGCGCAATGAAGAATCCCTGAATGAGACAGAAAAGCATGGAGAATGAGGGAAAAAAGGCCCTCTGTTCACAAGCCTAATGTCTACCTTTATTTTCATGAAAAAGAACATTCTTCAATAGACTGTCTAGCTCTCTCACCAGACTGGTGGACATTCAGTAACAGCATTGTCTCGATATTCAGGCAGAACTAGACCTAATTGTGTCTTCCGCTCTTTCAAACAGACATTCGCACTGGAGAGGAAGCCCTAGTTTCAACCCAGATTCTTTAGTTTAGCTACTTCAAAGGAGAAGTTTCAACAGATGGAGGAGGCTTTATCTCAAAACTGATGTACTCACATACCTGTTTATCCAGAAATCCTTTGCCCTCTGGATCTGCTAAATCCCATATCTATGAATATACAAAATTATATGCTGACATCATTCAATTTAAAGCAAAAATCCTTTCAAAATAGAGATAGAAAGTAATCTGCTTCTTCAAATCTGCTCCTCCTAGAGACAGGAAGTGCTGCATCCAATGTTCTATTATTTTCTCTTGCCATTTTTCTTATATACAGCCACAATCATAATTCACAGATTGAAATTAATGAGATCTAGAGCCCATCAAAAAAGGGATGCAGTGGCTCAGTGGCTAAGACGCTCAGCTTGTCGATCAGAAAGGTTGGCAGTTCGAATCCCTAATGCCGCGTAACGGAGTGAGCTCCTGTTACTTGTGCCGGCTTTTGCCAACCTAGCAGTTCAAAAGCATGTAAAAGTGCAAATAGAAAAATAGGGACCACTTTGAGGGGAAGGTAGCAGCGTTCTGTGCGCCTTCGACATTTAGTCATGCCGGCCACATGACCACAGAGACATCTTCGGACAGCGCTGGCTCTTCAGCTTTGTAACAGAGATGAGCACCGCCCCCTAGAGCCAGAGACGATTAGCACGCATGTGCGAGGGGAACCTTTACCTTACAGCCCATCAAGCATCCAGTAGTAGCACATACAGAAGAATTTTTCATGCCTTTATCTTTCTAATATATTTCAGATCATTTTTAAAGCCTTTATATTTGCTAGTATCATTCCAGATATATATTTAAAGACAAAAAATAGCTTATAAATTGATGAATCACAATGACTCACACATGACAGGGAGAAATTCAGTGTTTAATAATAAATAATAGCAAGCACTGTTTCTCAAACATGGCAAGTTGAAGTTGTGTGGACTTCCAGTCCCAGAATTCCCCAGCCAGCTTAGCTGGCTGGGGAATTCTGGGAGCTGAAGTCCACATATCTTCAAGCTACTAAGGTTGAGAAACACTGGTAAATAGTATTTATGATTTATTTATGATTAATTTTTTATGCTGCCCATCTCCCCTATAAGGTGATTCTAGAGTCACCGTAGAGAGGAGAGTCAAGACCTTTCCAACCGACCTTTCTCTCTCATCTTCTTACATTTGTTTTATCTGAAAGCAGCTGTCAAAGCCAGAAAAACAGCATGAGGTTTCTTCAGGGATTCAGGCAATCATGAGATTGTCTCTGAATAATGTACATTTGCAACTGGTTTCCCTAACATGCATTTTCCTCTGGCATTAGAACAGAGAAGATGCCTGACTTACTTTCCCGAGGATAGCATCGGCAAGACCAGACTTTTTGAGAAACAGAGCAGCATCACTGGATCCAACTCTACCAGTGCAAGCTGGATCCACCTGCAAAGAAAATATTAACTCTTCAACAAACCCCAAAAAGGAAAGGAATGGGCCAACTCATAAGATAGGGACTGCTATATAAATGTTTTAAATAAATAATCAAACTCTACCTCCTATTTCCCACTGAAATTAGGCTTCTGTTGGCTTGTTCTGCTCTCACTATAACCCAGTGGTGTCAAACTCACAGCGTCACATGATGTATTGGGGCTTTTTTCCCCTTCGCTAAACCGGGGAGGGGGGGGGCACAGCACATAATGCATCTGGCCCGTGAGCTGGGAGTTTGACACCCCTGCTATAACTTCTTCAAAAATGTGTTAAGATACTTCTTAAGGGTGCTTTTATCCACTATTCTTTTCAATTTAGCTTTTAGCCTCATTATTTTGGACGATTAAAAATTCTGATGATATTAACAACATCATAATGCCGAGTACAACATAGATCTTTGTTGACATGATGTAAATCTCCTAATCTTATTTCTTTAATGCAAAAGTTTGGCATTCAATCTGGTTTCTTTATAAATTGCAATAACTCTGGCTTGGTGCCAAAAGTTGTAATATCTCTGCTGACAAAGCTTTATATGCTTTCTGAGTTGTTTACACTGAGTTTGAAACTGAAGTAAATTTCTTTCGATTTGAAAATGCAGGTAATACAAGATTTCTCAACATGTTGGATTAAAGTACGAATTTTGCTGAAAATAAAATATGGAAGTAGAAATGCTAATTTGTAGGGTCTGAGCTTGCCTTATTGTTGCTACATTTTGATCTGAAGTTAACAAGGCCAGGTCTACGTGTTCTAGAGTTGAGTTCTCAACATAGGAGGAGACTCTGTAAAGGACCTCCTCCTTCGTGCCCTACATGTTCCAATCCACAGGCTCAGTGGGGCTCACAATGCCTCCCGGGAAGCCATTTTGTGAATTATGGCAGACCCCAGAACACGCCTCAAAATTCCAAATGCATCCATTAGCCAAAAAAATTGAACACCCTGTCCTAAGTGATATTATCAAAAGTTATGGATATCTTGTGTATAGGGTAAATGTTCTTATATAGTACTGGAAGACCAGACCTATAATTGATTAAAATAGGTAAACTATTACCGTACATATGTTTTCCCACCACAGTGAATCAAGGAAGAAGGTTTACAGGTAATTTGGTCATCTTTTGAACAATTTCATCTATGCCTGTGTAAATTCAAGCAACTTTTTAATTTATCCTTTGTGACCTATTGACAGGGGTTCATCAAAGCATGAGCATTGCATGCTATTACATTCTATCTCACATGACATGAAGATATAATTCATTACAATTCTAGTATCCAAAATGCATCAGCAGCATATTTATGTATATTATTCTTGCTTTGTTTACTAGACAATCCTATTAGTTTAGCATACAGCTTGTTCTTGGTTTCTTTGGGGGATTAATTTAAATAGAGCAAACCATGATCCTTATTTCATTTTAAAAGAGTTTTATTAGCCAGGTTCCCTCACAAGAATATTCAAGGGGTGCAAGAAAAATCTTACAAGCTACAAATAGGCACCCGGCTCATGAATTTGAGACAGGCAGCTATATAAATTGACATAATAATAATACATAAATCAATTCTGGCTTCTGTAATACTAAATGAACTTGTAAATTTTGTATTCACTTTCTAATAGACCAGCACAATGTCTACAAAAACACATATGCTGGGTGCCCATATTAGCCAATAGATAAGGAAAAAAGGCAGGATTTCAAGGGAGATGAGAAAAGGAGAAATGTAGCACACTTGCCTGCTTGTAATATGTCTCATACATAGGGTTACTGGCGGAGAGCTAGAAAAAAAGGGAGAAATGCAAGGTGAAAGTTATCCTCACACACAGCCAGGCCTACCCATTGTATTGCAGAGTCCCCCAAGCTCTCTGGCTTTGCAGACTGTGGGTGGGGGAAGGGGATAATTCCATGCAAACAGCGGACAACGCCTCCTGCTCATGCAACTGAGGATGCATGCGTGCTCTCCCGTCTCTTCCACAGCCCAGTTCCGGACCCCTGCTCTGTTTCTGATTGGGACCTTCTAAAAATGTCCCACCACCATTTTTTTTCTGAAGAAATGGCTTGGTACAAGGGAGACTATATGAATAAAGTTAAAAGGACATGCATAGGAATCGCATCAGATCATTTGTAGCCAGCTGGAACACAAGGCCAAAAGATGCTGCCTACCACCTCAGCTTCTCCTTTTCTGACCGCAGTAACATATCATTCACTTGCCCTCCAAAGAATTATCAATGCACAAACATTTCTTTCTTTAAACAGACTCAAGGACAGTTCGGTTGTTATAAAGGACTTCCCACTGCTCTCTAGTTTGAGTTCAGTCTAAATAACACCCAAAGGCAATATTTGGCTTTCCTCTGAGAAAGCTGCATGTGTACGTTCAGCAGTGGATGATAGAGATAACGTTAAAAAAAAATCAGTTACTGCACATTCTTCTTATTTAATTCAAGTTAATTTATAATGAAAGGGGGGAAAAAGACAGTCACCCTGGTTGAGCTTAACAAAGATGGAATGAGACAACAAAGCATTAAGAAGCCATCATTTAGTGACTGAACTAACAACATTTTTTTTCCACAAGATCAGGAGTAAGCCCTGAAACTCCGCATGGGAACAGAATGTCATGGAAACAAGAGAGGGAGAACACGGAAGTTCCATTCTCTCTTGTCCTCAATATACAGTGCTAGAATACCATTATCAAAAGTTCAGGTAAAGTGCAAAATTGCCACAGAATTTCACCTCATTCTGACATTGCTAAGTTACAGACATCCCCATCCCCATACAATGAATAAGTTTTACTTCTGTTTTCTGCACAATTGGTTGGTTGGTTGGTACCTAACTTCAGGTAGTCCTTGACTAATGGTCATAATTGAGCCCAACATTTCCAATGCTAAGCAAGACAACTGTTAGGCGAGTTTTGCCCCATTTTACCACTTTTCTTCCCTCAGTTGTTAAGTGAGTTCACTGCAGTTGTTAAGTTAATAACACTGTTGTTAAGTGAATCTGGCTTCTCCGTTGATTTTGCTTATCAGAAAGCCGCAAGAAAACCTGATCATATGACCCTGGGACGTTGCAACTGTCATAAATATGAGTAGTTGCCAAGTGTCTGAATTTTGATTATGTGACCACAGGGATGCTGCAATGGTCATAAGTGTGAAAAACAGTCATAAGTCACTTTATTCAGTGCCACTTCACTTTGAACGATCACTAAACGAATGGCTGTATGTCGAAGACTACCTATATACATATATGTCTCCCTTCTAGAAACCATCTATCTATATTTGAGTTCTGTTCTAATCAGCTTCAGATAGCCTCACGATAGCCTCGTGATAATGGGGGTTGTATCCAGATATGTCCTTCTAGAAAGTTTCAAGAACCCCAATTCAGGCTTAATTTGAATGCCTTTCTTTTATTCTTTTTTACTGTCTGAAAGGCAAACAGAACTCACAGTGTGTAAGGTAGTCATGAAGAGCTATGCAGCTGTCTTTACGATTCCTTCATCCTCCAATGGGTAAAATAAAGGCTAACCACATGTCATGAATACCCATTCTGTTATACAGAACTGTGACCTATCATTTGGTTTTAATGCTATGCAAAATCACCAACAATGATCCCTCTGGTCAATACCAACAATGTTTCCTCTGGTTTTCCAGCAAGAGACAGAAATCCAAATTTTATCTGCCTTGAAGGGTGGGAAAGACATGCAAGGTCAAAAGAGATTCTTTTTGCTCAGGACAAATGATAAGTTGTAACTAACAGCTCTGATGAATGGGCAGCCCAGTACAAGTTCTCATCCTACAGACTCCTGGTATTCAGCAACCAATTCTATTTCCCACAATAAACATGTGATATCTTTGGCAATGTATGGAAGGTGCGATAGCTCATACAAAAGCTATCCACATAAACCTTCTTTAAAAACAGAGGGTTTTTAAACAGAGCCTAGACTAAAACTTCTCTTTATAATTGGCAGAATCTACAGCATCAATACATTCAGCATTGGTGTGTAAACTTACGGGAGAAATACCATCAGAACACAAGAAAATGCCTTCTATCATCTATTATTAGGTAGATGAAAAACACTTGTAAGGCTAGTATAATTAGGAGCAATATCTCAGCCTATCACTAATTTTCATTATATCAGAAAAAAAATAGAGGAAAAGGTCCACATTAAATAATAAAAAGACCCAAAAGATTCAAGGGGAAGGATATTTTGCCTGGGCCTCTTCCTCCACAGTACACAGCCTTGGAATTTATAAGTCAGAATGAGATGCACCCAAAGCTTCCAGAAGCGCTTGGCTTCAAAACACCCTTTCTGAAAAGAGCAATTTATAACTGACTGGTTGTGCTTGACATCTGGGCTATGCATGGTTCTGCGCTTTTCTGCAAGCAGAGCCAACATGGAGATGCTTTCTCTGCTAGACAGCAGCCATTAACTTTGCAGGAATACAAATTAGCCTGGGCAGAAGCAGTATTCAGGGTTCTAAGGACTTTGGGTCTGTGTCCAAAAAAAGGAGCCTGGAAAACAGTACTTGGCATCAGGCATGTGATTCTCACTTGAACCAGAATAAGCTCAGAAGGGATGCTCTTAGCAACATTATTTATTAACATGCACGCAAGGAATCTACTCTTTATCTATACGGAGACTGCTGGATTTTCTTTCTTATACACAGATCTCTGAATCAGCTTACCTCCAAGATATATACATGTTTCTTTTCCTGAGTACTCATGACATATTCCATACACCAGAGATCCCTCTGCCATCTTACTTTGTGGTTGAATGTTTACTGTGTACTATTTCATTTGGGGGGGAAGCCTCATTAAAGCCCAGTTACATCCTTAGAATAATTAAGCAACCTGTCTACTAGCATGACTGAATTTTTGCTCAAAAGGTCCTTATTTAACAATTATCCCTAGAAACCTGTTCCTAGTTTCTGCTAGAAATTGCTGTAAATCAGCAATAGGAGACATGTGGGGCCGGTACACAAAGTTCTGGATTTAACCAAGGCGGAAGGGAACACACCAGTTTCTGGACTGTGTTTCCCTATGTAACCTTACCAGTCATTTATGAGAGTTCAACATGCAGGGTTGCACAAGATGCCTCCTTGATTGTGACAGACCTTATCCGGCAGGACAGTCAGCTCAGTGTCAGAAGCCTTTGTATATTCTCCCCAGCTTTGCACTAATTTCCATCCCTTGCAACATTCCTCCAATCTGGTAAGAAAATTCTTCTGTGGCTGAAGCTGCCTAAGGAACTGAAACTTCCCTTGAACTTCAGTGCAGAATCCAGGCAGCTTCAAAAAGGCCACTGAGCCACTTTTTAATGCCACCTGAATTAGGCTGCAGATTATGAGACCATAAAAAAGTTATCTTCAACTATTGCAGGTTACAGACTATCTTCTCCAAAGAAGCTCTCTCGGTACCACTTCTACAAATACATTCAGGTCCTCAGGGCAATGTTCTGCAAGGACTTGGTAATTATTATATCTTAATCCCTAGTTCTTACTTTATGGGCTAATATGGCTTTTAAATTTGGTGGCAGCGTGTAGCTTTTTACCAAACAACTTTGTAATTTTTGGCCTTCTCTTACAAAGTGGACAATATTCCATATGCTATTATTTGACAATGTGATCCTCAGATGTTTTCATTGCTTATATATCATTTTTAATTTGCTTGTTATTCAGTAAGAAATATAAAAGCCCTAAACATCCTCATACTTCCTCAGTTGGCCACTAAAACGCTGGACAAAGCAGAGCATAAGCTGTAAGATCTGCAGCCTGACTACACCCATCTTTATCTGGAAATGATTTTTATTTGGCTTAATTTCTAGATTTCTATCAACAAGCTTTGTAATGTTTTCCCAGAAGAAAAGACACCACTTGCTTGAACTGGTCCCACTTCAGTCTTTCTCGGTTCTGTACTGGGCTCTCCAAATTTCCCAGTGTTTAAACTGAGTAAATTCTCAACGTTTAGTTGTAGCTGGGTCTGTACCTCTGCAAACATCCAAGCCCACAAACTGCATCATTTGAGTCCTACTTTTCTGGGAAAATATACTTCTGTGGCTAGATTTGGCAGCACTTAAACTCTTCAGCACCTATTAGAGTCTCTCCAAACACATGCACACCCACTCTTATACACAGGCAAAGGCACACAGCGGTCCTTCAATCAAATCCCGGCCTAGAGGACTAGCAGCCCCTTTCTCTTCTCCGCTGTAGCATCCCAGCTCTCTGTACTGGTGGATAAGGTTTCTTTCCAACAGCCCTGTGAGGTAGGCTGGGCTGGGTCCTTTGGGTATTAAGAAGGGGGCTTCTCGGCCGTGGCCCTGAAGGGTGACGATGGGACCCTCCACGCCCCAGTCCTGGGGGCAGCCGAACTGTCCCCCTCCAGGCTGAGTTGCCTGACCCCTTTCCGCCGCCGAGGACGACTGGCCTTTCCCAGGTCCCTCCCTGTCAGCGCCCGACGCTCCGACTCCTTTCCCGGGAAGGAAAAGAACGGGCGCCCCCCACCCCCACGAGAGACCACCTCCCATCAAGGTCGCGTGTTTTGCGGGGAGGAGGTGGCTGCCCTCCCCGCCCCGACTCTGTTTCTGACTCACGCCGGGATTATCTCGGCTTTCTTGAATCGTGACCGCTCTTCGTCTTCCTCCTGCCGCCATTCTCCCTTCACATCCCTCCGCCGCCCTTCCTCTTGGTTCCCTACCTGCGCGCCGCCGCCGCCGCCGCCAAGGGGGCCGAGCGCCGCCATCTTCCTCCTCCTCCTCCTCCTCCTCCTGGGAGGGGAGCGGCCAAGAGAGGGACGGGGCGTGGCCACGAGAAGTACAGCAGCAGCAGCAGCGAGCGCGGGGCCAGCGCCGCCAAGCGACCAACCGAGGAAGCGCTGAAAAAATGCCCCTCGCGGCGTCCCCGCCGAAGGTCCGCCGAGGATGCTCCGGCCCGCTGACCTGCTTTCTTGCTGGGAGGCGAGTCTGTCTTCCTCGGCAGCCTTGCCCGGCTCCATTCATGCAGGAGGGGCGTCTGCGGTGCTGCTGCCGCTGCCCTAGAGGACTTCCGAAGCTAGAAAAGGACATTTTCCCCTCTTCCTCCTCCACTTTTGCATAGGAAAGATTTGGAGGGGGGGTTAATTCAGAAATGGTAATGGGACCCCCACCCCCTTTCCCCATGCAACCCTGAGCCCCAGGGGTAATTTGGGAGGGTCAATCGCCGGGCCTCGCCTGTTTCTGGGTTCAGGCAAACGCGTCTTTGCTCGTGAACGATGGATGACTGGACTTGAAGGAGAGAGGGAAACGAAGTCATTATGGACTCTCTTTGTCAACAATTTATTTTACTAAACAACAACACCTTTTGATATCATTTTTAGCCTAAACCAAACGGTTTCTCAAGGTATCTGTTTAAAGGAACACGGTCCCTGGCCCTTAATATCTTCCTCTGTCGGCTCCAATTTAAATTCTGAGAGAAAGAAAGAAATCAGAGCTCCTCCTTCTGTGCTACAATTCTCTCAGATTTGTTCTTTTGAAGTGGTTTCTTTTTTGGCATCTTCTGGGTTTTTCGCTCTTCCCTTTTCTTTTCTTTCTTTATTTCTTTCTCGCTCATTGTCTGTTCCGGCTTCTGGAAATTTTAAATGGAAAATGAAAGGTCACCTTAGGAAACCTGCTGTCGTCTCAGATATCCAGCTGGGCAAATCTATTCCCTTGCAGGAATTTTCCTTCATCTGTTTCCTCCCAGCTAACCTAACATGACAACTGGAAGAACAAACTGCAGGAGGAACAGGCTCCGGTTCCAGCTACTGGCATTGCAGCAGCTACTGGCATTGGACAGAGCAGGGAGGCTCCCCTTTGTTTTCTAATCCAGGTGAGAAAACTGTCAGCATCACCATCCAGGTGTTCTGGCAAAGCCATCTGAAGCAACCTTACTGTGAGGCTGTGGCTATTTTGGAAAGGCACCTGCAAAACAATCATAGTGGATTCCCTGTTCCAATGTCAGCCATCCAAGCAAAAATAGCTCTTTGAGAAAAGGGTCAAGTAATAGAAGAACAATACAATGACAAAGGGAATCTACACCTTAGCTGCATTCTGAAGAAGAAATCATTCTTACCTTTGTTTTGCCCCACGTTTCATCACCAAATTGCTTTGCATACTTTTCATCATCAGTGATCAAGAAATTATCAAAAATAGTTCCAGATCTCACCTGCAATTAAGGAACACAATAGTGTGTCTTTATATACATTTGAATCAATACAATTAGCTTTGTATTGCCAATTTTTTCCTCATGCACAGGAGTCTGCTCACTTCAGTCAATGAAGATGGCACAGTAATTAACGTACGAACCAGGAAGAAGTCCAACTGACCTGCCAAAGATCTAGACCAATGACACTGATGTTCTCATAGACAGAAAGGTTTGGGTCTGGCACATGCTCAGGATTCACAATCTGAGGATGGGGCCAGATGCCTTTGTAGTTGGGATTTGGGATTTTCCTGGGCCGCCACTCCCCCTGAAATAAACCAAATGTTATTGGCTGCCCAAATGGCCACCCAATTCCTCAAAGTTCAACTGAAAACCCCAAAAAGTGGTGCCGTACTCTGTAGAGAGGATTCTTGAGTAGAGGAGGTTTCCAGGTGCCCTGTGCTGCATCATCCCAGTCTTTAGGTTTTTCAGCACTATTGTCCACAATGTATTCATCAATATCCCAATCCTATTACAGGGATGAAAAAAAAAAATAGAAAAGAAAGAAAAGCGAAATGAGCCACTCCTGATCAGCAGGTAAAATCCAATGGCTTTATGGGGAAAACAATATATAATATGTTTAGTATTTAGTACAGTAAATAGTTTTAATCAACCTTGCCATATACTACAGTACACGCTCATCCTGTCAGACTCGTGCCATAGTCCAGAAAAGAAGCCCACTCAGAAGTATTGGCTCAAGCATAAATTTATTGTAAGGTTACATTAACAAAATCTGTATGCCGAAAATACATCTCTCACCCCTCTCCTTTACATTCCAAAAAACTAGGGAGGGTCCATTTTGAAGTGTTTGCCATGCCCACATTCCTTCTGCGAGCTCAGTTGCCATTTATCTGACCATAATCTATAGCACTTTCTCCTATCTTCCAAGATCATTCCCATATCCCATTGCCCATCTCATGAATAAATCTCTAATCCTTAGATATTCATTCCAACAGGATACTCAGCTATGGGATTTTCCTGCTTGCTCACAAATTTTTGTATTCAACGTCTGAGCAGTTTCTAAAAGAATTATACCTAGTTCTTATTTAATAGGCTTTGAAGGATTGAAAAAGTATTCTCTTTGATATAGGGTTACAGCATCCAGCTAGAATTTGATATAGGGTTACAGCATCCAGCTAGAGACTATGAGTTCTAGCCCCCCCACCTTAGACATGAAGCTAGCTTGCTAACTTTGGACTAGTCACTCTTCTTTCTCACCCTAGGAAGAAAAAAGCAAGAGCAAACCACTTCTGAAAAATGTGGTCAAGAAAACACCAGGGACTTTTGTCAGGTAGTTACCAAGAATCATGACCAGCCTGAAGGTGTGTGTATGCACTTCTCCCCATACGTCTGATAATGAAATAATAATGTGTAGGGAGATTCAAGAGAAATGGGCAAGATAAATGCCATGAAATGGATTTAGCAATAATAAATGGAGAAAAATAGAAATATTGTGGCTCCCATCCATTACAGGTATGTAGTATATTGTTTTTATTATGACATTATCACAACGAGAATTGCAAGATTGCAGCAGAATGAAAAAAAGAATAATTAAATATTTAAAGGATCTGACAAAGCAAGTCTCAGAACAAGCCCCTTTCTGAGCTTGGTTTACCTCGTTACCTGGGAAAGGCTGATTGCAAAACTTGGCTCTAGGATGCCTAACTCTTCTGGCTGGCATTATTGCACTGGTAAACGTATAGCAGCAGCGGAAATAACAAAATAATACATCTACTGGGAATATGGTACTGAGCAAATCCTTGGCATCTGGCTGAAAATGTTCTTATTTAGAAAAAAAGAAGGAGTCAGCAATCCTAAATATTAATAAAAAGTCAAGAAATGGCCTGTGACAGTAAGGTAACAAAAACCTTGTGAAGAAACTGCTAATGCTGTAATTTTTGTCATTGTGAAATGTGAATAGTAAGTGGGCCTATAGCTCTTGTTTTAGAAAATGTTATTTCAATGAACCCAAGCAAATTCTAGTAAAAATCTTATAGCTGATAAATGAACAATAGAAAGGGCCCATCATTCTCAAAGGAATAATTATAACATGCATTCTCAAAGGAATAATTAAGGGAACAAAGAACTTTAAGGGAAACACTTAAAAGTGTTAGTAATTATGTTTAACAAAATTCTGATAAAAAAAGACTGGATGCATATAAGAAATGGAAAGAAGGGCGGGTCAAGAGCAAACATATAGAACTAGGTAGATACGCAGCGATACTGCCAAGAAACCTAACACTGGGAATGCTCCAAGCAAACTGAGGGAGGAAATAATTCGGTGAAACAATGAAATGTTCATATTTTGTCTCCTCAAAATTCTGTGCCATTTTCTATAAGCATGGCTGGTAAACTATCAAGATTCCTGACCAAGATTAGTAAAAAATTGGTCAGAAAATATCCAGCTACTTTCAATCTGCAGACACCCCTGAATGATGTTCATTTCTTAATGACTACACAGACACTTCCATGTGAGGGTGTTTTTTTTTTGGGGGGGGGGTGTAACCATATCATGGTGATCTGCTACAGCCATCTTCTAATATGGCTTTTTCAAACTCCCAGCTCTGAAATTCATTGGAGATCTCCTGCCCAATTCCTAACCAGGCCTGGTCCTGCTCAACTTCTGAGGTCAAGGCAGGTTGAGTCCTGCCAGTTGCTGTACCATATCCAGCCAAGTAAAGGTCTCTGATTCTGAAGACAAAATCGGTTCGGCAGCCCATCAAGAGTTAGCAGCTCCATTTGAAGGAAGAGAGCTCTGTTTGTGATCAGGACTTTTACATGTAAGCCACCAGGCAGCAAAAGCAGCTTATAGTGGTCTCTTTGGAGATGACAAGCACTGGCAGATTATACTAGTGCTAGAGAGGTAACCTGTGTTGCAAAAATCGAAGTGGCCACTAGATAATAGAAAAGGTAATTGTTCTCTTAGCTCTCTGCTGCCAGCTAGTAGTAGTTCTGGTCAGTATGCACTGAGGCTGATGGTTGCTCACCTGAGCCTTTTTGCCTGTTGCTTTATTCTGACAGTAAATACCTAGATTCCTCTGTAGGTGACATGCTGGTCCCCATCTCTAGTGAGTTCTACCACATCTGCCTTGATTCTAGCCGTGCCACAGTCTCCAAATATCTTAAGCAAATTTAAATCAGGGTCAGATTACCATAGTTGACCCCTAACACAAAACAGGGATTTTATGATTTACATACAAAACAAGCTCTGAGAAATTCTGAAGAATAGATGTCACAGGAATATAAACATGTTTATAAAGCAAAACAGAAGAACCAGGAAAGTAAATTTGCAATTCCATGTTAATGAGAAAGAAATCAATTTGTTACAGGGAGAGAGAAACCCTAACATACTGCTTAGTAAAAGGTAGGGTAGATTTGCCAATAAAAAAGATCTGCATTTTACAATCAGTTACTAGCTAATCATATTACAAATACTATTTACATAATTTATCTTAATATTAGCAAAGCAAGGGTCAAAATTCTTTTTATATCCCAATAGGCCAACTGGCTAACTGCCCATGAAGA